GGAACACTGCAGAGTCACATGCTCTTTTCAGCAAGAAAACCGAGGATTGGGGAGATGTTGCTCTGGTGCTGTGTTACAAAGGGGACCCCATGGTGTAGCTCTGAGTCACTGGGGCTGAACTTGCGCTCACAAGCACAGCCACTCCAGCCCACAGCCAGGAGATCATGCTGACAGTTCGCAGAGGGTCCTGCTGCAGCATCAAGGTGCCTCATGCGCATCCTGGCAAAGGACTCCCTGCTGCAGTCCCTGCAGGACTCGCCTACAGGGAAAGCAACCCTCTCCGTGACATAGGGAAATTTTAAGACTAGGAAGACTTGATTCAATTTGACCTTTAGATGGGAGTTTGCTTCTTCCGACTTCTCTCAGTTTAAATGGTGGGAACAGGCTAGCCAGAACACTTCTGTCTGTAGTCAGCTCACAGGCCGAGGTACGAAAGCTTGGATTGCAGAGACTACAGGAAAAGTATGTTTACAACTGGTAAATTTATTTACACTTAAGATCTCTTTTCTCCACCCTTCTCTTAAAAATAACCCTAAACACATTCCTACTGACTTGCAGAGTCCAAAACCTTTCAGCCTTGGGAACAGGCAGTATCTTTCTTTTATTACATTCAAGCGTTCAATGATACTTTTCGGTTTTTTCCTCCTGTTTGGTTGGTTGGTTGGTTTTACAACTGAATTTAACCCTGTACAATAGCAATGTCTTGCCTGGACACTTCTTTCACATAAATTACAGGAAAATGGGAGACATCACTCATTGTGATAGACAATCAATAGATAATTCCTAGATGAGCACTTATGCAAAACCCAACCTTGAAACTAAGTCATATTTTCTTTTCTACATCACACACAACCAGCTTGGATTTTCTCTGTGCCTAACTAATACCAGAGAAAGAAAAACAGCCCTCTATACCACAAAAGCAGCATCTTACCTGCAAATTTATGTGTTGCTTTTTGTCAGCTCTAAGCTAAAACGCAACTCAATTTGAAACTTAATTAGACTCAGTTGGAGAGGCAGTAGCTTGTAACAGGTTTTTATTCTTACAGGGTTCTGAAGGCACTTCCAGTGAGTAACAGAACAGTGGACATACGTAAAACATCCATAAATCTGGAATAATTCCACTGGATTTCAGCCCTTAAATCTCAGTGTAAGCTGGACATCCATACCAGTCTTCCTTAAACTCTTACGCCATCTAAAGCAGCTGCATAATATTAAAACTGACCTGGACTGATCATTAAAAATTAATTTAGCCAGAACATTAATGAACTCCAGTTTCTCATGCTGCTTGCATGTAATCTGCTTGATTTTTCTTCTTTTACCATTCTACAAACAATTCTATCCCACAGCTTTTCACCAAAGCTTCTAAGATCTGAAATTTGAGCAGTGCAGATCCTATTGCACATTTGTGATCAGAGTCCAAGCCATGAAGAGTACCTACCTGCTATACCCTGGTTTGCTTAGGGCAGTGTGGCGGTTTCACTCTGGCTGGCAGCTAAACCCCTACCCAATCATTCACTCACTCCCTCCCTCCCTCCCTGCCAAGTGGGATGGGAGAAAGCATCAGCAGGGTAAAAGTGAGAAATACTTGAGTCAAGGTGAAGACAGTTTAATAACTGAAGGAAATGAAGAACAACCCAACCAAGTGATGCAAAGGCATTCACTCACCACCTACAGACTGATGACCAGCCAGTCTCTGAGCAACACCTGCTCTGGAAAAACTCCCCCCTTCCCAGTTTTATTATTTAATGTGACATTGTATGAGATACCTCTTGGGTCACTTTGGGTCAGCCGTCCCGGCTGTGTTCCCCCCCAACCTCTCACCCAACCCTAGCCTACTCGCTGGGGCAGCAGAGATGGAGGAAGCCTTGAGACAGTGCAAGTACGGCAATAACTAAAATAGTGTTTTGTGTTATCAACACTGCTTTGGTCACCAGTCTAAAACATAGCACCATACAGACTGCTATGAGGAAAATTAACTCCATCTGAACCAGACCCTGTATAGGCAGATAATAAGGGTCCACGCAGGTAACTCCAAAGACTGCCAGTCCATTGCCAGTCCAGTACTGTGGTATTGCATGCAACAAAAATTCATACTTGGCTTCCTCTCTGTTCAAAACATTCAGTCTTCACTAAAAGTTTACAAAACTGAGGCTGGGAAATGACGTAAGCTATCACAAGTCACTCCTAGCAGCAGCAGAAGGGATTTGCACGCAGGGCTGGCGCTTGTTTTGAACCACACTCCTCCAGTCTCCATCCACCAGCCCCATTTTCCTATTGCATCACTGGATAATCAAAAAATATTTTAATTCAGTTTTCATCTCTTTACTACTAAATTACTACATTGGTATGTTTTAAGCTGCATGCATTGATGCTTTATGTTGTTATCTTCTGGCACTGCACTGGTACAGAGAAAGGATGAGCACAAAATACCTGGAAATCACATAAGCCACAAGGCAGGGACTGTAAGACTTCCCAAGCCCAACTAAAACCAGATAGATTTGTTCTCACAGGAACACAGATCTCCTTCAGGAGGGAAGGGGAAAGCTAAGGTGCTTTTTGTTTTGGGGTTTAGTTTTTTTGGTTTTTGTTTGTTTTTTTTTTTTTTTTTTTTTTTTTTTGCATAGCCTTGGTTGGCTCTTTAAAAGGCAGTAGTAGTTCTAGACCTGAGTTTCCTGCTCTGAATCAAATTTTTTCCCAAGGCACAAGAAGTGACTTACCTGGAGATCATAAAGGCTGTCACAAAGCTCAACAGCCAGGATTAGAGCCGTATTTTCTATTTGATTGTCTGTTTCTTTAAGTCAGTGCAAAATGTTACCAAAAAGCATTACTACCAAATGCCATTATGGTTTAAGAAGTACAAGCATAGGAGCCCACCTAGATACACCTATCAGTGTCATGTATATCTGTTCCCAGCATGATAATAAATGTCTAGGCAAGTTACAAATGCAAAGCAAAAATGGTTCATCTGTCTCCAGTGTATTTTAATAAGTGAAATAAAACTAAAGGTACGAGTTGGATTTCAGCACCAGTTGACCTTTCCTCCTACACAATGCAAGGTCTCTGCAGGATGCTAAGCAGAAGATTTGCTAAATGCCACACTGGGGCTAACTCAGGAGACTGACAGCCCATTGCCTGCTTATATAAAGCTTCCCAGGAGTCAGGCTGATATCCTCACCCTTCTCTGAAAACACTGCTGATCCATAGGGATAACCTAATTTCCTGGACCGTGAAATAAGCTGTAGTCTAAGGTTTACAACTGATAGATGCATGAGACACAATCACCAGTTTGCCGCACGGGTGCTGCTCCCCAGGTCTGTTAGGTACTTGGTGGCTTCTGGGTTTGCAAGAGATTTAGCTGAATGATGCTACTCTCTGGTAGGGGACACCACACCTGTCATCTTCCCCACTGCCTGCCTTCCACTGCCTCCAAACAAGTTCACAGGGATCACCTTGGTGCGTGTTTTGGAATAGGAGGAGTTTGGTGTAGCATTTGGGTTTCACAAAAAAGTAGAGAGCTGAAAAGCTGGTCGAACAACTACTCCCTGGAATGCATTCCTACAGGTCCCATGGGTCTGCGTGCTCAAGCACACACATGTGTAGTGAGGTAGCTGTTTCTGCTAAGGCAAAGAGCATTACCTGTTTAGAGAGCTTTGGCTGTCAGCAGAATGGGTATTTTTGGCTTTGGTGGAAAATAATAAAGCTAGGTAGGTCTGAGGTCCTGCTCCGAGTGTACCCACCAGGTGTTGGACTTCAAAACTGATGCTAAGTTGTTCATCTCTGAATTTTCAGAATCGAAGTGCCAGCAGCTGGGCAGTCCTGGGCTGCAGGCACAGTACAGGTGTGAACATTTAAGCTTCAAGCTCTTGGGAGCTGCTTTCCCTTGTAAGCACTAGACAGGGAATTACTACCACTTGCCTGTCATCACCAGTGTGAAAATTAGGTGTGATATTTCCTGGTTCAATTAAATAGAAGGAGCCAAAGGTCACTAGCTTGCTTTGTGAAATGAGTCTATTCCATTTTAAGTGCTTCCCTTTGTTTCCTGCAAAGTGGTGACATGGAAACAATACCATCTCCCACGATCAAATGACAGCTTGCTCCAGCCCTTTCATAACAGAAGCCCTTGAGGTTTGCACCAAGGGAGCTTGATGAGGTTAGTAATCACTGCAGCACACAGAAAGCATTTATACACTTTGACCCTTTGTAAATAAAGAGTTATACTGGTTTTGTCACTAAAGCTGGGGAGATTTATACATACAGCTTTCTCCCAGCACTGAGGAAGGAGAAACTGAGGCAATAAAATCCCAAAAGCCATCAAATTATTCAAGAAGGGATGCTGAGAGCCCTCGGAAGGCTCAAAGCTTATGCTATTTTACCTATAGTTTGCAGCACAGGAAACAAAGGATAGGATTTTCATCAAACCCTAGCATTTTGAGAGACACAAACTGTATTTTTCTTTCAAGTCACATTCACAGTCCTGTGAAAGTTCTCTTCAAGAGCTGTCACTACACAGGAGTAGCAATGATCTTAGCGATTCATTGCCTGTCACCTGTTGCTGTAGTGGGAGTTTCTCTGAAAGAGGCTGGAAAGGACCTTCCGGTCTTCTAAGACCTGTTCTGAGGTCTCCTTTGGCAGTCACCTCACTCCCACATAGTTACAGCACCTGACATGACCTCTGGTTAATGCCTTATCTCCAAAAGCTGAAGAAATAATTTCTGCCAGGTCTGCCTATGCTAAATGACTTTGAGAGAGAGGTACTATGTGACCCAGGGTTCCCTGTTCACAGGTGGGACTGGGAGAATCCCAAGACTTTTCTTCAGTACTTCATATCTTGCGCTACAAGATACCTGAGAAGCAAAACCAGGTAATATCCCTTTTCCTTTCTCAGAGCAGTATCTACTTTTAATTACCTCTTCAGTTCCTTTGGTAGCAGCATTTCATGGCAGTCCCCTCTCCTGTACTTGGAAAATTGGAAAACAGAAATATGACACAATTACTTTCAATTACCAAAAATATTACTTTTATGGAAGAAAAGTGAAAATTTGACTTATTTCAGATCTGAAGCAGCGAGAGACACGTTATAGGGGAGATTATAGGGGAATTTTCAGTGTCCGAGGCTCACCCATGGCCTTCAGAGAGGAAAAATAATCATGTTACTGCCTTTCCTCCCAGTTTAACAGCAGTTTATATCCTTTAATCTCACACACTGAAACCTGTGTTTGCTTGGGCTTTGGAGATTCAACAACCCCCATGTGTAGCACAGAGCAGGATTCCCCCTTTACTGGCTGGTTTGATCCTGGCCACAGCCATAAATGACTGCCCTGCCTCTGTATACACAACACATACGTGGATCAGGTACAAATTTGAACATGCAACATGGCTCCACCTGTGCCATCTGCAGAAGACATACTCATCCACAGCAAATGACAAGTGCAAAGATAATTCAGTGTTTTCCACTTGATCGCAGGCAATGTTTCTTAGCATCCCTTGGCATATTCCTCTTACATACCTGTCTCACCCCCCAAAAGCTATTGAGATTCTTGTTTTGCTGAGTCCAAGTCTCCTTTTGGTCTCCAAGGCTGTTCTACCTGTGTTTCCAGAGAGATTAATCAATGCTGTGCACACTGAACTTCTGTAGGCCCCACTGAAGGAGCCCGGTATCCCTCTAAAACATTTCAAGTTTGTTTCTTTGCCACCCCTTCTCTTTGAATGTATGACTGCCAACAGGCCAATACCACCTGCATGTCTTGCAGACAACATCCGTTGTTTAACCCGGAGCGCCACATCCTTATTTTTATTTGAATTATTCTTCTCCTGTTCCCTAGTACACAAGGACCCCCAGTGGTTTTGCATTTGAGCTCCGTCTGGTGCATCTTGGCAGTACGTAGCAATGTCTCAGTGCACATCCCCATTGTGTAAGTCCTCCAGCAGGTCAAGACATCACCATGTCCCAGCGCTGACTCATGGCTGTGCTCTCACACGGGTTGATGACAAGCTCCTTGGTACTCTCATTTGTGTCCCCAATCGTCTCAGTGTCCAAACAGAAGCGTGAAGCTATGTGTTCAATGTGTGATCCAACTTTACTCCATCGCTGAGAAGAAATACACATGAGAGGAGAAATAGGGGTCAACAAGCTTCCTCCTCATTATGCTTTTACTACACTGTGCCAGCATCAAGACGACAGTCGTCACTAAGCCTCTGTGCCTGATGCTGGGAAGTACAGGGTCCCCAAACCCATACCAAGCAGAGCACACACTGAGCATTTCTCCCATTAAAAGCACACTTATTTAAACTCAGCCTCTGCCTGGCTTCAGGGAGATAATATATTACTAACAGCTTTTTCCCCAGGTCACTGGTTCAAATGCCAGCTCGATGATTAACTGCAGAGAAATGTTAGCATCTGCTGGCTGACTGGCAGCCTGTGTAAACTAAATTGCCAGTTCTGGTTTGACTTTTGCAGATAAGTATCCAGATCACCACCCGCACTAATAGACATCCTTATCAACACGCTCATTTAAGAGGCAAAGGGCTGAACGGGCCAGTCTGTAGACTCCCAGACAGACTGTGCTTCCCAGATGAAGTCACAGCACACGGGCAATTTGATGTGCAGTAATACTATGCTGAAAGAAAGGGAACTTCAAAGAAAATAGGGGATCAACAACAGGGCTCACCTGCTTGTTGTCACCTTCTTTGCAAGGTGACAGCAGCACCTGGGAACCAGGGAAGAGGGTGTACACAGACAAGCAGAGCTGCTGCTGGTGGACTTGGTGGTTGTATGTGTATGTCCATTCCTGCAAAGAGGAGAAAAAGAATGGAGATGAGAGATCAGGGTTGATTATTAGTATTCTTCTACCTGGAAAGCAACCACTTTGACTTGGATCCTGCCCCCTCTGAAACCAAACACAAAATTCACTGACTTCAAAAGGCACTAGGACAGGTCACTAGGATGTCCGAAGCCTCCCCAAAACAGCAGCTGTCACTGGGGGACTGAATGTGCCAAAGAAAATGTGTACAAAATCTGCTGGAAGAAAATGGTTCACAAGGCAAAGGATTTCATAGCCAGAACTGAGCTGTGGTTGGGGAACAGGGGGATGGAAAAATGACAAGAGAGAGGCAGAAATACTATGCACAATGTGCAATCCTCTTTGCAAGTGGCAGTAGGAAAGTGATATATAGCAAATGGTTGCAATTCCCAGGATTCTTCCCAAATATGCAAAAATCAGGGATAAAGCTCCCTGTTTTATCAAACGAGTGGGACCAAACTCCAAATGTTTGCTGTACTGGTTTGCTATGACCACTGCTATTCTAGCTCCCCTGGGCTGTCTTGGAGTTTTTTTCCTCACGCTGCTTTTCAAGTTCACTGGGTCTTTATCAGCTCCTCAGCCCAAGAAATAATATTTGGGGGAGCAGAGACTCTTTGTCCTGTATAAAGCTTACCATACAGCAGGGGCTCTCTGGGATCATCCCCTTTTTCACCCATGGAAATTTTCCTTGGGAGAAAAAGAAAAGCAGCTGATAGCTTGACAAAGATTTCAAGATGTGCTAGCCAAAGCATCATGCAGGTACAGATACACTGCTTAGCACAGGAGCGTTTCACGGAAGTTTACTCGCAACGTTTATTCCAGTTGAACATTTTCCATTATTTACCTGCACTCATATTACCCAAGAGCAGCTCCTGTGGGTCTGAGACTGTCCAGGCAGGGATGTCTCCCTGCTCTTTGTGTGCGTACACAAGCAGACAAGAGCTGCTTTGGCTTATGAGAAACCACAAACCATGCTTTTATATAACCCTGGAGAGTGACTTCAGGAACAAGTTTTTTGCTTAGAACTTTGTGTATTAACTTTAAAATTAGGGCTGGAAGGGGTTTCTGAGGGTGCCCAGCCAGAGTGCAAAGCAGGATCCACTCCTGCAGTCAGTGTAAATGGCTCTGCGATAGCAGTCAGGTAAGCAGCAGTGGGAGCAAACGGAAAGCAGGTTCCAAGCTGTGACCAGGCAGGTGAGCAGGACTGGAGGACAAACAGCAGACTGGCTTCACTAGCAGAGGGCAATAATTGCACTGGAGAGAGCAAGGCCAGGGAGCAAGAGGGTTTCCACAATAGGCCCCAAGAGCCAAGGCAAACGATTTGACAGGGTACAGGCTATGAGAACTAGGAAAGCTGCTGTGAAAGAAAAGGTGAAGAGAGAAAGAAAAACAGTAGGGAGCTCAGATATGGAAGAGTCAGAGCTCCAGGAGGAGTGAGGCAAGCAGGGGCGTTGGTAGTGGAGGGGAAGGCAGCGCTCAGATGTATGGCAGTTAGGCTGGGTCTGGAAAAATGAAGGGCAAAAGGTGTTCCTGGGAGACTGCAACCCTTTCTGAGTGCTGGCAGGTGAAGTGAAGAATCGCTGCCCTGATCTCAGAGCTGAGAACGCCTGCAGCTCCCCCTGACTTTGAATGGTGGAGGCTTTGGGTTGCATTAGCATGACTTATTAGAGCAGGGAAATGCTTCCACCCCTTTGGTATTTGTCACCGTCAGCAGCTCTAACTCCTCTCCCTGACTTCAAAACAGACAGCTACAGGCATTTAATTCCTGGGAATATAAATCTCACTTCATTCAGGTTCTTAGCCACCTGGAAGGGAAAACATGCTTTTGCACAACAGACCCAGATCCACAAGGACTTCACACTGTGATCCTCACACCCCACGATTCTTAGTCTGCTGCTCCCCACCAGCTAATGGAAATCAAACCTGGCTTTCTGAACAGTCTGTTCACAGGCTTCTCAGCGAGAGCTGCCCAGGATTTCAGCACATAACAAGCATTCATTTTCAAAGCTGTAGTCTGCACCCAAAGGGCCTTCTGGCAACTACTCCTTTGTCAGATGGATCAGAGTTTACCTGATCCTACCGCGAACACGTTCCAGACATCCCAACCATGCATGCTGTCAGCTGCTGTGTAAACCACCAGCCTGGGAAATCAGGTGCCAAATTAGTCCTGCATCTGTGAAGAATGAAGCCCTACGGGGCAAGCTCCAACACCTGTTCTTGGCTACGGCATTACTACAAGCTGCTCTGAAAACCTGCTTTACGTTTTTAACCAATTGTTCACCATTTTAGCTCAGGGCGGGGCTGGAGCTGCACCCATGAGGATCCTCAACAGCACCAGTTAATTCTGCAACTCATGTTGAATCCCTCAACTAACTCGAACTAACTCAGGCCCTGGGACTTCTTTTTTTTTTGCTTTGACCTCTTAACCTTCTTGCCTCACTGAGGCACCTCATGGAGGACTGCTCCTCCCAGAGATTCTCCATGCTTTTTTTCAAGGCCAGGTTCTGTTCAAGCCTTCCCAATATTCACATTCTCTCAAGGCAGGACCATCCTCTCATTCAGCAAAGCACCAAGGGATAGACAGGGCGGTGGTAACCTTCTCTTCTAAGCTATTGTTCATCATAAGAAGTGAGTCCTTCAGGGCTAGATATATGCGTCAGATGGACAGCTGACATTGGATCCTCCCCTCTTGCCCTCAGGCTGTCCTGCTACTGTATCTAAACTGACAGATTTTCACACAGCTCTTCCATTTTGGCAGAATGGCTTTTTATGGAAGCCAGTCCTGCTGAAAATGTTTTATCCAGTTCTAATCATGTCTTGTCTCTTTTCAGCCCTAGATGAAAGCCAGAGAAAATGATGCAGAAAATGTAGAAATTTGGGAGGAGCAGAGAAAGTCACTTGAACACCACAGAATCCATTAAAAGCTTTAAGTTAAAATACAGGCAAATGGCCATGCAAATTTTTATCTTACCCCATCTCTTCTCTGATTTATATAAGCTGGGATGAAAATTCCTGCTTTTTTTCACCATAAGAAACTACTTTATCTTCTAAACCCGGGCACACTGAGCACTCCCATGGCCAGCACAACCGTAACACCAGCACAGCAGTAACAACAGCAGAGCATCGCACCCTGGAGGCTGTGGTGGATGGGGCAGCCCAGGGTACTCCTAAGAAGAGAGACCTCCAAGGTTCAAGCTAACATGGCTTCAGGACTGCAGACTGGCCTGAAGAGATGCCAGTGGGGTTTACAGCTGACCCTGACACCAAGGAAAAACAGACATACAATGTGAAACTGAGATCAGGATTTCCAGCCATTTCAAAGATGAAGATGAAGTGGTGGTGGAGCAAAGAGGAAGAGCGTGGACTGGGAAAGCAGAACTACCAGCAGCACACCACAAACAACAATCCCCTTCCTCCAAAGCCTCAGATAACACTAACCCCCATCTAAGGCTTCTGACCATTTTTCAAAGCTTTAGCATCATTTGAGCAGGCACCTGTCACTGTTATTCAGGAGCACTGTGAATTGAGGAAATTATTTTAAAATGTGACCTTTGGCTTGGAGTAGCCTGGCTGGCAGAAGGAGAAAGGAGCCCCTCAGCCTAGCAAGGAGTAGCCCCATAGGAGCCTGGTGTTACATGACAAAGCTGTATAGGCTCTGCCGCTGAGCAAGAGGTCAGCCATACCCTAAAGCTGGGGTAGCAGCTAGAGAAAAATGTTTCTGAAGAAGCCAGGAACAACCTCAGCCCTCAATTATCTTTTTTAAATCACAGGGAAAGATTTCCCAAGGCACGCGACTGAATGGGACACCAAAGGATACGAAAGTGCTTCCCTCATCAAAAGGTCCTGGGATGCAATTAGCACTTACTTACACACATCTGGGGAAAGGGAAAGCAAAGTACAAAAGGTGCCCATGGCAGCCTGGGTGCAGAGGTGATACTGCTGCCAGCCCTGCTCTGCTGGCTCAGCTTGGCTCCTGCAGCTCCAACCAGCCTATAGCTGGGGCAGGATGTGCCCACGGAGGAGAACAACAAAGACTTTTGAGGGGAGGAAGGTCAGAAGAGAATTTTTAGGGTTGAGATGTCTCAGGATGGACACTGTCACGTTAGTTTGGATAGATGCTAAATGTTCACCAAAGAAAGTTCAGATCTAGTCAGCCCATAGAGGTCCTCAAGCCAACTGGGGTAATCTTCAGTACCACATCAGGCTGATTATCACATTGCATATCCTTCACAATGAAGGTCAAGGACATGCCACCCTAATGCAATGGCAGCCAGTCAGCTCCAAGGCACAGATATTTTGGGGTACAGGACAGGGAAATGAATGCTGCAGCCTTCCACTCTTTCCTCACTTATCTACGAGATGACTAACTTTACACTCATCTTGCGGCTACCATTTACATGTGTTGTGAGTATCCTGGCTGAAGTGTCTTCTGCTTTTTTACTTGAAGGATGTCAGGTTTCATGCAACTGCTAATGATTAATGGTTTATTAAATAAATCCCAGAGTCAGGTGTCTATTTCAAAGATGTATGTACTAATATCAACTGACACTTAGTTTTAAAAGAAAAGCAATCGTTTGCATCTTCATCAGATAGATCAGGGCAAAATTATGATCAATTATTTTCCCTCAGATGCATTTCTCTTGTGAAAAACTAAACCAATCAGCTCATTTAGCAAATGAGGCACAACAAGACATGAAGTACCAAGGCTCCAGTGGGCAGGAGCACAAGGCAGAGCCTGCTGTCTCCTGGGAATGGGCAGCATTGTATAAAGATCTCTGCCAGTCACTATCTTTAGTGCGGGTCCCTCTGAGAGCCACCTCAAGGGACAGAGCCTGCCCTGACTGCTACCAGACCTTTTGGAGAGGGAAGGACCAAGTGGATCCCAGGGATAAGAAGGTAGAGGTATCCTACACACAGATGAGGGGTCTTCTTGTGCCTCAGTACCCCTTTTAGTAATTCAGGACTAACACCAGACACCACCAGGGAGGGTTTGTGAGAACTGCTAGGAGTGTAAATCTTATTTCACTGCAGTCAGAATATTAGTCTCAATTTACCCATGCTATGGATGTGGCCAGAGGGCTCACAACATCCTTCCCCTGCCCTACAGATAGAAAAAAATAAAATAAAGAGCAATTGATTGTCATCTGACAGCTCCTGTAACTCTCTCCTCAAACCATGATGATCTATGACAGCTCAGATCTTCTCATACCTGGTCCCATGACTTAATGCATATAATGCTGGTAAAGGGCTTGAGGAGCCTTGTAGGGAGACAGCTACAGAAGGGCAATCAAGCAACCAAATTAATGCTGCTAACACTGATAATAAATGATGTGGATGGCCAGGATATTTTCATAGTACTTATTGAATGCCAGAAAAGCACAGCTTTGATTTAGCTAAGCCCGTTTTTCAAATAATGAAGCTTAGGGTAAACAAGATGTGACTTCAGTATGTTAAAAGTCAGGATTATTACTCTATTCTGGTATACCAAATATGAAACTAAGTAGCATTCAGGACTGCAGCATCATCTATCGTACACAGCCTGGTGATCATAACCCCCCATGTCATCCACAAGTTCAGGTGGTCTTGTAACAGTATGTAATTAAAATTCAAATTTCTATTCACAATGAAAATTTAAATATCCTGTTTTAATCTGAAATATTCTCCATGGGTACAAGTAGCAGAGAACTAACCTAGAAAGACAGAGAAAGATAAAAGGAAAAGGTTTCTCTCTATTCTTGCCTGTGTATTGAGTATGTATTCAGCAATCTGTTTGTAGTGCATTTTTCTGTTCCCCTGCAGAGTTAGTCCTGGATGTGCACAACAAATGGACTTGCCATCCAGTGGGAAGTGTTGACCTATCACATACTTCTGCAAAATCAAAATGGAAAGATGAAAAGTTTGTGGCATGGAAAATTAAAAATATTTACTCCACAGAAATGTCAAAACAAGATGTGCTTGATGGGAATGAAACAATCCAACTTGTTGGCATGACATTTCTTATTTTAAAATATCACATCAAATTGATATTTCAGAAAGACCAATGTTATTTCATTTTGAAACGCTAGCTTGCAGCAGCATTCTCCATTCTGATTTTCCCAAATTTTTTTAAAGACATCCAATCCACTGAAAATTGCAATTGTCAGTAAAACTATTTTTTTTCCTTCAGCAGAGTTGACCCTGCAAAACACAATGTTCTAATCTCAGATCACTTGTCTTGCTGTTTGTGTAAAAAGTCCATGTAGCAGTGGAAGAAAGAAAAAGAATCCTAAATCCGGGAAACCAGTTAAACCATAAAAACTTCAACTATTCAGTACTTGCCGTTATATTCACTATATCTTCTGAACTGCCTAAAATTCAAGCGGTCATTGTTGGTTTTACCAGACTGTGAAGCAGATATAATTTTTCTGACTAAAGGCAGGCACACAACTGCCTGCAAAGGAGATGCACATAATGACATGCTTCATTTACACATACAAAGTAGGGACATTGTCAGCAGTGTCTCCAGGCTGGGCCTTTTATATGTATAGCTACCTGGTTTGAACGTGCAACCATGAGGGTTAAGGATGTACACTGAAGTGTAAGCAAGCACGCCATTGCCTATTAAATTATTTCAGGGCACCCCAAAGAAGCAAGTGATTGTTATCCTCCTTGTTTTATAGATGAGAACAGTGAGAGAACTGACATGCCCAAAATCATAAAGGGAGCCTGAAGCAAAGGCAGGTTTCGAAGCTGTGTCTTCAGGGTCTTGCTCCAGTGACTCTGCTGCAAGGCACATGTGCCTGTTCTTGGCTCTAACATTTCAAAGAATATGCTTTTGAGAACACTGATTCATATGTTTTTTTTCTTGTCTCAGTGAGACTGAAAAAAACAAGATCATCTTCATTAAACTCTCACTAGTTTAATAGGCAATCTAATATTGAGAGAATGCACACTATGAAGTTATAAATACCATCGCGATTCAGTGCGTTTTGAAAGAAATAAGGCTGAAAGATGAGAGGAAATTATAGTTCTCCGTCTTTCTCTGATCTCTGCAGATGAACAGTGCGTGGCGTTCCTGAGGAGCAGTAAGCACTCAGCGCAGGCTAGCACAGAGGTAAGTGGTTCACCCTGTACTGTGGCTCCTGCACTAGTCCTTGCTGCTGCCCAGGGCCTCCATCAAGGTAAGGAGGACTTACCAGGGTTTAACTACGTGCTACCTTAAGAAAGGGGCTGGCAGAACGGGTAATTCTCCAACAGAGCTTTAGCAAACTTGGGAAATCACCTTAAACCTGCATGGGAGCCTTCTCTCCAGCAGGCATCATGGGATAAGGCAACACATCTTACCTGTGCCGTTGCTGCCGTGCCTTTGCTGCTAATGCAAGGATTTAAGCTTAGGACAGGGAACTCTTGGGCTTCAGACTTGTGCGACTCCAGACAGCTCTGCCTTTGCCTGATCATCCCAGTCTGATAAAGAGATTCCTCTGGAATCCTGTGGGAAAAGTGTGAAAACAACATCCCTATTCCCCCAGGCACACAGAGTACTCAAAGGGAGGCTCACTAGGGTAAGGAGGGTGCAGCCACACCATTTCACCTTCAGAAAATGAGAGTGGCAAGATCTATTACAATACTGAACCACTGAGAGCAGTACATGGACAGGGATGCTGCAGAAGCAGCACCAGAGATGGATGGATGGCATTTATAAGAGGAAAAAAATAAATAACACTGCACAAGGCAAACATAAGAGCAAGGAATAGACTGTGAGCAGGCTGAAGGTCAGCCTTCAGCTTACAGGAGTGGGTAACTTTATAACAAACCAACACAGAGCTCTGGCATTCCCTGTGAATGCTACTGTGCAATGCCACACATGGCAAAAAAGCAAGAAAACAGGTATAAATAATTTTCACACTGTGATTCTGCATTTGGCCATTGCACCAGCAGGTCTCTGGAGATATCTCCAAAACTTTTGCATCCTTCTTGAGGATGGCTCCTAATGGTGACTGGGGGAATGGATGCAATGCTTTCTGGAGTAATTTTGGTGACTAAAAGGCATCTGTGCAAAAGCAACTCTGGCAGTGCATATTAAGTACAAAGCATTAGGCTAGGAGTGAGGCAGAGCCACCTTAATACAGGTCATAAACTACTAGAGTGGATGGTTACACAACAGAGGAGTCTTGAGTATCACAGAACAGTGTGAAAGGACTGGAAATTACATGCTTGTTTTGTAAGCAAGAGTCATTAAGTACTGAAACAACCCACCAGAGGCTATGGTGGATTTTCCACCTCGGGATACTTTTGTAAGGAAAACTGACTATTTCTGTATACCACCTGTCTCACAGCAAGGGAAGGAGGATACCCGTGGAAGCCCCAAGAGCTAAATAACTGGTGCTTTGCCCCTCACCACCCCTGTAGCAAAGAGCCATGGAGTGCAGGATCACAGAAGAACCATGTCACACTGTGAGCAAGCTGTTTAAAGCCAGAACAAAATTCTCTGTGCCCTTCTGTGAAGCTCAAGGGAGGGGCTGCCTGTGTCCCTGGGGCAGTGTGGGCACTGGAGGTGCAGAGGAAGGCTCTGTGGGGCAGGAGGGATGGAGCATTCCTCTGGCCTGTTAGAGACAGGGGGGGATCGTACATCCATACCGAAGTTCGGGATAAACGTTTTCCAGGTACCACTTGAAGCTGTGGCATTTCAACCTCTTCCGCAGCTCCACTCTGCTCTGGACACTGTGGGAAGAAAATATCATAGAGATACAATGGAAATCATGAAGGTGAGACCCAATGCACCAGAAAGGGAGGCTGAGAGAAACCCAACAGATATGCACAGACAGCAAACACAAGAGCATCATCAGCTCTATTCAGGTCTCTTCTGCTCTGATCTCTCTCTGATCAAAAAGTCATTTTTAATCTTTGTATCTTTGGAGGTCTCACTCGGTAAAATGGCATGATGATATGTTGCCATTTTATCAAGGGGCCTGGGGTTTGGTGGATGAAAGGTTCCTGGAAAAGTACAGTCATTTAAAAATGATTAGTAAAAAAAGGTATGCTATCTACTATATGCAATAAAGAAATTAATATACGCTATATTAAGTTACTCTTAGTTTACAGGACTACAGAAGGCCTCGATATCCAAGAGTACCTAAGCACACCTTTAAGTCAGCAGAAGTTAATCACACGGTGAAACAGTCCTTTCTTTTCTGGTTAAGGTTAAGCAAAATTTCTGCTGAAGGATCATGCTGTAGTGACATATTCTGAACTCCAGCTCCTCCCTGGGCCAGCCTCCACTCATGGAGCTGTTATAAGCTGGCATTTACAGAGCAGTAGGAAGCCTCCAGTACCTTCTCTTCACATAGGCTATCTTCTCCACACCCTCATATATTTAGCAGGACAGAGATGTTACTTCATTTGGATGGGAAGAGGATATGAATTCAGTGGAAACAGGTTAGTTAGCAGGACTTCAATTTATTTATCCTGGAAATTGAAGAGTAGCCACAAGGAATTTGGGTTTGGATTTGGAAACCCCTGCAGTTCAAAGAAAACTTTCTAAGGAAAGGAAGAGCATATGAAAATGGGAAATTAACCAATACCGACAGTCTTCCTGACAGGGATGCGTTTCTGATTGTTCACAGAATGAATGGCAAACTGCCTGCATACAAAACACTTGCTCCTTTCCAATAAAGCCTTAGTGGGCCCAAAATCTGATTATTTTCCTGCCCCCCAGCTGCCAGCGAAAACTCTGGACTCTCCATGCCAAACTGTGCTCTGGGACCAGAAGTACTTGTACTTAATACCAAGGGCAGAAGATAGACGGAAGGGGTTTTCCCCCCACCTTGATTTGGTTCACTCACTGGCATAAAACTAGCACAGCATATAAACTAGCTGCTTATATGTTTCATTGCTGTGCTTATAGCATCTGCCTACCATTAGCATTTAATTGAGCGTTACTACAGAAACAACGCAGGCGGGTTTCCACAGCAGGGCGATGTCACTGTGAACACCCACTGCAGCAGGCAGGGCACAGGCAGGGCACAGGCAGCAGAGAATGACACTTACTTTCCATAAGGCCTCCCCTGGGCTGCAGGACGAGCTGCATAGTAGTACTGCTTGAATTCGTCCATCCACACCTCTGCGGTGCGCTTGGTGTTTCTGAAGGAGGAAATGACAGATGAAACCAAGAAAGCCTTCAAGGTGATACTTTCTAAAATGCATTGACTAATCCATCCTGCTCTCCTCCCATCCTCAGCTTGGTCTTTGGCTCCCCTCAAACCACCTTTGAGCCAGCCCACCCTTCACTACTAGAGAAGGTACTCCTCCCCATAACTCCAGGGACCAAACATAACAGGCCAAAGCATGGGTGAAGATTCACCATTTCGAACTCGTCTGGGTGCTCTGCATCTACCAGACTCAGAACTGAAGCTTCTCTTAAGCATCATCTCCCAGGAAGGCATGGCTGGGGTTTTATTTAGTGGCTGCAATGGTGCTCTGAAAAGTGATATAAAATTTACCAAAGATTGAAGGCAAGTATTTCCTTTGCATCCATTCTCTATGGACTCTCCTGCTTTGCACTCCTGATTTCACCGAAGGAAATCTCAGCATTCAAAATTTAAGAGAAACCACCCTAGCCACAGTGCTGTAGCATAAATGTCAGTCTTCCACATCAGCCAGGTGTCTGCAGAAGGAATGAATCTCAGGAAATCTTCTGTTGACTTCAGACGGCTCTAACTCTCCTTGTAAGTGGCTCTGTGGCTCCATGCCTACTTGCCTATCCCTGCCCAGGTCAGGGGAGTCCTCCAAGCTCCAGCTCCAAGGCAGGCCAGTGCCTCTGAGCTACTGCTACCACACCACTAATTACACGTGCCACAGGGCAGGCTGTGGATCCTGCCAAGTCCCACACAAAGAAGCACAACACTGGAGCTGAGCTGTCTCTTGCACTGAAGTAGACACTGTGTGTAAAAAAAAAATCAATACCTGGCAGAAAGGTGGAGATATTTTTTGCTAACATCTCTGTTTAAACAGAGGTACCACATAGCATCAAGTTGCCAGAAAGCTGCTTCTCCTCTCAGTCTATATACTGTAACATTAAGTTTAAGGCTGATAGATATCATAAGGTTAATAAAATCTCAGCTCTAATGCCTATGTTTGGAGATATGTTTCTCCAGACCACTTCAGTCCCTTGCTGATTCATGGTGCTTCTTCCTCTCTCTAAGGCCACTGCAATTGCCTAAGTGATCTTGGTCAGGAGATGCCTAAGTAAGTCACAGTGTCTAGACCTCTACCTAACATCCTCAAAGTGCAGGTTTTTTTGTCTGGCTTCCTGATCTCATTCAGGTTTATAAGAAACACGGGAATAAATGCTGAGGCTCACACCTCAGCACTGATTCAGACCTCTCCAAAGTCCCCAGATGCCTGTGCCTGAGGTGCAGCCAGAAGGGTACAGCAAGCTCCCCTTGCTCCTCCTGCAGATGATGCAACACAGATGCTACCTTTTCACTTGGGTTTGCAGTGACAGTGGAGGCTTTGCCACATCACAGCCACTTCTGTAGGAGTCTTGTTTCACTACTAAAAGCAAGAGCCCTCCTCATGACTCTCAAATTTGTGTCCTCATCCTTGATACCCTGTGCCCCTCACCACCATCTTTTTGAAGCCAGGTGACACTGTCCCCTTCCTGCCCCACCCGCTGCGTGGCTGGAAATCACATAATAGATAAACCCAAGAGATGTAATTTGCACCCCCCCAGTTTGTGGTCTCATGCAAAGCATGGGGAAGCTGCAGAAAGCCCGGGTCAGCGGTAACACCGCTGCAGGCGGCTGGGTCTTCACAAATACTGCCAGCTCTTTATAACACTGGGAAAGCCACACTAAAAGGAATGCCTGGTGTGTAAACACACACAAATGCAGTTTAACTGAGAAACAACCCTGCATTAAGTGTAAGTGCCTCTGGTGTTTTTCTTTGTTATTTACTTAATGCACAACCTTCAACCTCATGCTCTAAAAGAGGAGGAAATTCTTCACTAGCTGCTCCCATCATTTTTCCAATGCTGATTCCCACTTCTGGACTACCTCCTTCCTTGCCTGCTGTTTCCAGGATCTTGGCCCATTTCAGCCAGACGTTTCAGTAACTGATTTAGTCTCCGTTCCTGCATGTGAGGACAGATTCCCTTCAGCTGGGATGCCCTGGCAGCTCACTCAGTGCACCCACCAGTGAGGTGCAGCCCATTGCTGCCCCTGCTTGAGAGGCAGCACCAGCCTGGATGCAAAGCTGCCCACTTCAGCATGCTCCTTGGCTCCTCTCTCTGCGAGGCATTGGGAACCAAATTTTCTGGCTCAGCTGAGCCACGCTCAGCCCTCAGCTAAGGTCACTGGGAGCTGACAGACATTTCTGGCAGCCTGATTTCAGGCCATTGTAAATGTGTTCTGACGATGTTAGGGTCTAAATCATTTGCTGTTATGGTAGCTAGTGCTCAGGGAGATGCTGGGGTCATTCCACCCTTTTCGTGCTGATGAAAGGTACCATGAAGTGTCCTATTTCTGTCATATTCTTGACACTGTAGAAATCCTAAGGGAGAGTTGTACTGACTTGCATTTTCTTCGGCTCAGGAGATTCTCACCCAGGGATATTTCAGTGTTTTCCAAACAAAATCTACTCCCCATCTTCTCTGCTTCCCGCCCCCAAAAGGCAGCACCTTATTCCACTTCACAAGAACTAAGCAAACACAAAGCACCTACTTAATGTATGTATTGGCGTTTCCCTCTGGAAAGACGTACGGATGTTTCTTCCGGAAGACATGTCCAACGCGGCTGCAGGGGATGATTTCCAGGCTCCCTCCACACATCCACACACGGAAAGAGATTTCTACAAGAAAAGCAGCTTCAGCGTTTTGTCTTTCTGTCCAACAGCAGGCTGGATTCTGGTGTTACCTCTTACTTTATCCTCTGCTACATTAAACTGGGGTAAATCAAGTACCAGAGGGGCTTTCCTAGGCACAACTCCCTTAAAAGCACATTTCAAAGCTTCTTGTGATCTGTTTGAAGTCAGTGCACTTGAAACCTGCCTATAGCACAGCAGGTGCTATCACAATGGCAAGAGCGAGATGGTAAGTAGGTCCCTTTTCATGCAGACCCGCTTACATTGCAGAATCATCTTGCCAGTTTTGTGCTCCTGTAATTACTTCTGCACTGCCTATTTCAGAGTCAATTCCCTCCATAGGGCTGTCAAGTTCACCAGGAAAGGCCATGAATTCTACTTATTAATGACTACAACCGTCATTATCTTTGTGAATCCACCATTGATTCTGCAAAGTGAACAGAGCTGTGCATCCATCACCTGTCCCAAAATGGACAGGAGCTTACCCTGCCCAGCACAATCTCTGGGCTGTGAGTGCCAACATTGCAGTCCAACAAGGCACCCACCTTCACACAAGCAAAGGTTAGTGGTGGATTATCCCAAAAAAACCCTGGAAAAGCTGTCAGTACAGAAAAATATCTCCTAGTTGCCCCCAGCTGCTCTCTGGCTGGTCCATGGGGCCTTTCTGGAGGAAAACGAGCCTGTGGTACAATTGACACCAGAAGTTACGGGGCTCTTGGCAGGGAGCTGGATGAAATCCTAGCTGGCAAGGTAGGAGGGGTTGAGCAGAATGGCTGATCTAATGGGTCCATCTGGTCCCAATGCCTGTGAAGCTATGAATCTGCAGCTATATTGTCAGAAAGACACGCTTAGACAGAACCAGCACAGAAAAGAAATTAAATTAAAAAGAAAAGGCTTCTGTAGTTCTTTGCATCCTATTTTATAATCTGTTGACAGTATAGAGCTGCATGTAGCATGTATGTACTCCAAAACTATAAATTCCTTTTCACTCCCCCTGCTACCTTTAACTACAGAAGTCAGACAGGAGGCCACCCATCGTCTTTGCCAGCTCATGCTCCCCGCAGTCCCCTCACACGTGCCAGTGCAAGGATGACTTGTCCCCAGGTTGGATGTTGGCAAGACAAGTGCCTGTCGCAGGCAGACTGTTTGGTCAGTATGGACAGGAGTCCTCCTCCTCCTCCTCCTCCTCCACTGCCAGCCCACAAAGCTGCCATCCCTCCAAAACCAACTCACAGCTTCAAAGAGCAAAGGAGAATTGGAGCCCAGACCTCCAAAGCCACCTACTCTCAACACACACAGCTCAGCCACAAGGTGCACGTTGCTGCAGAGGTGGGAGCCACCTTCACGTCGCTCCTATCCCTGCTCCCAGCACACCCACAAAGCCCTATTGCCTCGATGCCCGGGTCCGAAATTCAAGGCTTAAGCCCATCCCCAACAGCTGTCCCTGGTACCAGGGGCCAGCAAAGGCTGGGCTGGGAAAGCACAGCAGGGAGAAGTACTTTTTTCCAGAAATCCCCTTCCCTTCCCTGCTATGTTTACAGGCAAGAGCTGCAACAGCAGCTGGAGCCTCACCACTTTCTCCAGCACTGGGTATTAACAGGCCAATAAAACATGCCCTTGCGCCGTGTCCTGGTGCTATATTGGGAGCAACAGCTGCAGGGAAATGAGATTATGGCAGGATGCGGCCGCTCTAAACTGCTGTGCTCGGTTCCCCTCACACGTGGCTGTCGCTCTCATTTGCCTGTGTGTCACAGCGCCGGCTGCACCGCCAGCACTACTGTGTAAATCAGAAGGGCGTCTGATAACGGGGGACAATCAGCTGAGCAGCTGTGAACAACAGTGTGGCTGCTGTATCGTGCCTTGCCCTCCTCTGGTCCTTCTGCTCAGCCTGGGAGAAGAGCAGCTCCCTGAAGCGCTACAAGGGAAAGACTTGCACCGTTCAGTTCTTGACTGCTATTAATTTAAAGCCTAATGAAGAGGTGATCTCTGTGCACTGCGAACTGGAATGAGAACACAGTGCTGGGGAGGCAGGAGTCTGAGTTCTCTGCTTCAGATATGTTCCACCCTGTAAAGCCTGCTCCAGTCCCAGCAGAAGCAATTAAAGCACAGGTTTTGGCAGGTAGGGATGACCCACAGAGCCATCCCTGGCAGCTAACAAACAAGGTCTCCAGCCAGGCAGCCAAGAGCTAAATGCTTCAGGAGGAGGTAAACTGAGGCACTAGCAAAGGCATGGCATGAGGCCAGCTCAGAGAAGCCAGGGGAGCAGGAACCAACAGCGTGTTTCACTTGACCCTCGAGAGATGTCTCCAGTGTGGGTCACCCCTCAGAGTGACACCCAGGAGAGATGTGAGCAGTATGTGCTGGGGTGCTCTGGGCTTGGCCTTAGCTTGGCCTTTAGTGCTTCTTGCTGGTCTGCCAGTCCTTCTCCCACCAATTCATCTACAGGGGATTAAGAAAATTTAAGAAATAAAACATCTACAATGTCCTCCTCCTAACCCAAGCACACTTGCTTTTGTTTTGCCTGAAGTCTCCAGCCCCTTCTAGCTACCCAGTCAATAACATTAAAGGCAGCAGTGATGCTCCCCAGGACCAGTCTTGGATCCTCTCAGGACTAAGCTACCACAAAAAGCATGGTTCACTGCAAGTGCCCAAAATGAGGAGCCACTCAGTCAGCTCCTGCTCTCTGTCATCTGCCCAGAAATGACTGGGACCAGCAGGGCCACAGCTGCCCTTGCCTGCGTACAAAGGAGAGGTGAGACATGCTGCCCTCGACTTCTGCACCTGCAGGAGATGCAGCTTTGAGTTGGGTACACTTCTGTTGTCAGGGTGATGAGCAAGATGGAATCTGCCCTGCTGCTCTGCAGACCTGCACTTTTTTGTTGCAGTGTTAACCTGCCTGGCTTCCCGCTGTCACGCTGATGCTCTGAGGCAGCATTACACCCTGCAGCACAGCCAGCACGTGGTCGGTTGGGACCAGCCTCCCAGGGCATAGCACCAGTAAGGGAAACATCATGCTCCGTAGGATGGGCAAGGAGCACAACACCCATTGCAGGGCATTGGACAAGCTGCCAGGATGGAGCTTCCCCAGAGGGCAGGCTGCCCCGTCACTATTCTCCCAAGAGCAGCTCAGGCTGGCTGCCATCAAAGATGAGTGACAAGCAGAGATGGACAACGGGTCAGGCACAGTAGGGCAGTCCCTCTCCTCCTGTCTTAGCTCCCTTCTTGAATGCTTTGTTTGGGCCACTGATCAAGGTGGGGAGGTGGGAGGGCTGCCACTCCTGTCCTAGGTTTCCTCAGAGCCACCCCACTCAGAGGAGCAGATGATTTGGGTCAGTCTGGTGGCAAGACACCCACCCACAGAGAGAAAGCACAAAGGAAGCGAGATCCTACTGCATAACAAGATATAAATAAATAAAATATGCTAGAGGAAAAAGGCATGTGAAGGAAACAACAGTGCCAGGCAGCGGATGGGTTACTGCAAGGCAGCAGCATCTGTTCCCTTGGATGACTGACAGCATCACCGTATGTGTTCAGACATGAGATCCTTCCTTCCTTGCTAGCCATCCTCCCCAGAGGTGTGAGCTATTAAAGCCAGGTTCTGATCTGTCTCCCTGACATTGAGTGCCTCCCCCTTCTTTCATGGATACAGTCTATTGCTCTGATCTGCAGCACTGCTACGGCTTCAAAAAGAGAAAACAGCCCAGCCCAATCCAGCTCTGCTTGACAATGGGGGACAAGGGACAGGCTGTTACCTCTTTCATGTGCCCTCTCAAGTGTGCATGCAGGAGATTTCTTAATGCCCATCCTGCCTCATGATAACGGACAGAGGTGACTGAATTTAGGTCAGCTCTTAACCTCTTTTTTTCCATGCAAGAAAAATAATAGTGTCAAGGAGAGCCTGGCAGCGGTCAGCAATCTAGTGATACAGAAATGGATAAGCAGACATGTTACTTAGCCACCTGCTTGCAGCATGACAACAGAGCTACTATTTCAGGGAGGCACTGATGCCTGAGTTCATAGCTTTGAAAGGCCGTCATCAGACAATGGAGTAAGAAAGTTTTTTGCTTTATTAATGAGAATATAAGATCAGGAAAGGATAGAAGAGTGCATATGGTGTTCTTTCATCTATCGGTAACACCAAAGCTGAAAACTGTGGTTTAGGGTATTTACCTATAGAAAATCAAAGCAGCGTGGAAGGCAGGGAGTCCCGAGTACCAACAATTCTCATGTCTCATCATTCATGGATTGTTGTATCCCTTACTCACCTGAGACCATAACCTATGAATGTAAGTGATAGAAACTATGCAGAGCCCTCAAAGCAAAGTCCAAAATGACCTTGTATCCATGTGGCATGACTCAGGAAGAGAAGCCAACACAGCAAGGCATAGGAGGAAGAAGAGTGACTCACCGAAGTTCTCCCCGCCCCAGATGTCCATAGCACTGTCATACTTCCCCAAGTGGTTGAACCAGGATTTGTCGATCACAAACAGGCCCCCAGCAATGATGGGAGTCCTGCAGAATTGGCAAGAGAAAAAGGGACATGGTCTCAAACACTGCTGCAGCACCTGGATGCACAGAAGCAGCCCTTCCCTTTGCCTCCTCTTCCATGGTCAGGACACTACCTATGTATCTCTTTCTCACCGAATGAGGACAACCTCAAAAAGCATCTGAGCCTTTCTTTCAGTTGCCTTGGTATTTTGCTGTCAATCATAAATTGCCTGGCACTTAATGACTGGCTAATGCACCTGTCAGCACAACTCCTACAAGCCCGAAGTTCACAGCCCTGATTGTAGGCTTCAGCATCAAAAATGCACTTAGCGCTCAGGGGGGGTTATTCACTCAGACGGGCTTTTTGCCCAGAGCCAGCCTATTAAGAGCACCATTCCACTGGGGAGGGGAAGGCAGAGCCAATTCAGAAGGGCTTTTTAAAAGCCATCACTAGCTGTGTGATCTTTATTTCAAAACAGGGTTATTTTCCATTCTTTGGATTAGCTAAGAAAACTGCACAGAGAAGGTCTGTGGAGGAGGGGAGGACAGACCCAGAAGATAGCTTGAGGAGACTTACCATTTGCTGGCACAAGTCCTGTCTCCACTCAATTACAGACTGTGGATGCCTTAGTGTAGGCTTGGGAGGATCTGGGGTGACTGCTGTGCCCAGCCCTACATGGCAGGACAACGAGGAATGCAAGGCGACCCTTTGGGAAGCCAGCAAGAGCCCCTGTTAACAGCATCCTAGGCAGCAGCAGTGTTCTCCCCTACAAACTTTCTGAGGCCCTGAACTTCCCCCAAAACTTAGTCTCCTTCATGCCGCACATCCCAGCACTTCATTGCTAGGGATGCAAATACTAGGCTTGCTGCCAGGAGATTTTCAGCAGAAAGAAGGATTCCCTTCATCCCACAGCATGAGGACAGATGGCATCTCTACCATTTAGTTTCGCTCTCTCTCCTGAGAGAGCACATCCTGCATTTCTAAGGAGCCTCCAGCGAGGTCCAGAAGAGCAGTGCTGACCTGGAAAGGCTGAACTAGACATTTTTATCAAGTATGCTGAGGACACTGCCTTATTTTTAAGCGATAGCTGAGCTGAGAAAAGCAGGAGTCTAGAGCACTGGGCTTTTCCTCTAACCATATTCAGCCTCCTTAGCACTACCAAAACACAAATAACCATAAATATACCACTTCTACCCTTGTAGCACCCTCAGGCTTCAGTGTTGGGAGGTGAAGCTGTACTGCAAAATCCAAGCTAGCCAGGAGCTCGCTAAAGGTGTTAGAAGTTAGAGATGTCCTGGAAGGGATATCACACTGCTATGGTGTATGGTGACGCACATGAGGTCAGATGAGATGCCTGTCCTGCCCCATGTTCCTCAGGTGCCTCCTTCCTCCTCTTGACTTACTTAATGGGTTCAGTGGGATCAAGTCGTTTGGCTTTCTGCTCCGGGGAAAGCTGCTCCCATTTGAAATGCAGACTCCAGTCAAAACCTAAAACAAAATTAGAGAAGTACCATAAGGAAATTAGAAATGGGTATGGATTAGGAGGCAATTCAGGCTGCAGAAGCTGTGTTTCATGGAATATTTTCACAGAATTATAGAATGGCTTGGGCTGGAAAGGACCTTAAAGATTATCTAGTCCAACCCCCCTGCCATAGGCAGGGACACCTTCCACTAGACCAGGTTGCTCAAAGCACTGTCCAACCTGGCCTTGAACACTGCCAGGGAGGGAGCAGCCACAGCTTCTCTGGGAAACCTGTTCAGTTTCTCACCTCCCTCACTATGAATTTCTTCCTTATATCTAATCTACATCCACCCTCTTTCAGTTTAAAACCATTACCCCTCATCTTACCACTACACTCCCTGATAAAGTGTCCTCCCCAGCTTTCCTGTAGCCCCCTTTAAGTACTGGAAGGCTGATATAAGGTCTCTCTGGAGCCTTCTCTTCTCCAGGCTGAACAACTCCAACTCTCTCAGTCTGTCCTCATCAGGAAGGTGCTCCAGCCCCTGATCATCTTTGTGCCCTCCTCTGGACCCACTCCAACAGGTCCATGTCCTTCTTACGCTGGGGGCCCCCAAGCTGGACACAGCACTGCAGGTGGGGTCTCACCAGAGCAGAGGGGGAGAATCCCCTCCCTTGACCTGCTGCCACACTTCTCTTGATGCAGCCCAAGGGTACAAGTGGTTTTCTGGGCTGTGAGTGCACGTTGCTGGCTCATAGTAAGTTTTCCATCCACTAATACCCCCAAGTCCTTCCTCTCAGGGCTGCTCTCAATCCACTTCTCACCCAGCCTGTATTTGTGCTTGGGATTGCCCCGACCCATGTGCAGGACCTTGCACTTGGCCTTGTTGAACTTCATGAGGTTTGCACGGTCCCACCTCTCCAGCCTGTCCAGGTCCCTCTGGATGGCATATCCCCTCCCTCCAGCGTGTCAGCCGCACCACACAGCTTGGTGTCATCAGCAAACGTGCTGAGGGTGCACTCAATCCCACTGTCCATGTCACCAACAAAGATGTTAAACAGCACCAGTCCCAACACCGACCCCTGAGGAGCACCACTCGTCACTGCTCTCCACTTGGACATTGAGCTGTTGACCACAGCTCTTTGAGTGTGACCATCCAGACAATTCCTTATCCACCGAGTGGTCCATCCAATATAGAGAAGGAAGTTGTGAAGGACAGTGTCAAATGCTTTGCACAAGTCCAGGTAGATGACATCGGTTGCTCTTCCCTTATCCACCAATGCTGTAACCACACTGCAGAAGACCACCAGATTTGTCAGGGATGATCTACCCTCAGTGAAGCCATGCTGGCTGTCACCAATCACCTCCTTATTTTCCATGTGCTTTAGCATATTCTCCAGGAGGATTCACTCCATGATCTTGCTGGGCACAGAGGTGAGACTGGCTGGCCTGTAGTTCCCTGGGTCCTCTTCATTTCCTTTTATAAAAATGCAGATTAAGTTTCCCCTTTTCCAGTCAGCAGAAACTTCACCAGACTGCCACGGCTTCTCAAATACAATGGATAGTGGCTTAGCCACTTCATCCACCAGTTCCCTCAGGACTCACGGACGCATCTCATCAGGTCCCATGGACTTGTGCACCTTCAGATGCACAATGGTCTTGAACCTGATCTTCTTCTACAGGGTGGACAGTTCTTCTTTCTCCCAGTCCCCACCTTTACCTCCTGTATCTTGGATGGTGTGGCTGGAGCCCTTGCTGGTGAAGACTGAAGCAAAAAGGTCACTGAGTACCTCAGCTTTCTCCATATCCCAGGTGACTAAGTCTCCCTTTTCCTTCCAGAGAGGGCCCATATCTTCCCCACTTTCAAATAACTAAAGCCATGGAGATGCAACTCTTGGTAGAAGGGTCCAATGACTAACATATTTTACTAGTGCATATGAACAAGAAACAACATACTTCATTACAATTGCAAAGTCAAGCACTGCAAAGGCAGAAAAAGTCAGATTAAAGCTACTGCTGAAACCTCACTGTCCCCTTGTGCACACAGACACACGCTCTAATGGATATTGCGTGCTACAAATAGCACAGGCATACTAATAAGCACTACAGTCGCATCCTCCATTTGTTGCCTAGACATCCCCCATCTCCTCTTGTCGGCACCCCAGCTTTCAGTGCTGCCAAGGGTGGCTTCAACATGATCCTTATTTTCTGCTTGACCTCCTCATCCACGTTAGCAAACACCATTCCTCACACCATGCTTACCTGGCTCTAAAACAGCCAGCAGGGAGCACTGAACAGTGCTAATGTGCTTTTTGCAAGATAGCAGGAGCCAGAGGTGTGGTGCAGAGCCACCAGCTCCTCCAGCCAGTGCATGTTCTCACCATGGGATGGACATGCACAGGGCATGCACGTGGATTGGACTTACCTCCTCTGAGATCCGAGGAAGCTGCCACATAGGCAAAAGTGTCCAAGTTGATGATGTCAATAACAGGGCTGACCACTCTGGTGGAATCCTGGAAAGCAGAAGTGAAATGACTCATGACTTCAGATCACATTGCTCAAACTGGTCAAGGGCTGCTCTAAACTCCTGGAGACACCAGGCTGCTGAAAATCTTGGTGTCGTTCAGGTTTGTCAGGGACAAGTGCCCATCACTGCCTTCTCCTCCTCAGCCATCACATCAGTTCAACCAAGGAATTAATGGCAGCAGCACCAAGCAGCAGAGGTATTGCTGGGAACCACAGACACACCAGCAAGAGATGCTGAGAAGCCAGGCACTGTCTCTCCTGGGAAAGAGGACTGCGTGCTGCTGGGCCACTGAGCTGGCTTCTCTCACCAGCTTTGGCTTCACCTGCAGGTGTGCGTGTATTTGGTGCCTAACCTGGCTGGATGCAAAGCTCTGTCTGTCTTTGCAAATTCACCAATTTTACGTCCCCTAAATACTTTTTACTGGAGCTCAGAAGTCAGGCAAACAAACAAGCAGTTGAAATGCCAGAGGAAAACCACAGACAGTCAAGCAGCTTAAATACAGGTATTTTTTAAATGTACAAACTATGGGGTCAGAGTTTTGCTAAAGGTGTGAAAGGGTTAAAAAAGATCTGAATTATTTTAAATAATTGGTAGTGATTTAATTAACATTTTGTTATGGGCAAAGAGATTATACAAACAGTTATGAACAAAAATATCTACGGGAGGAAGAGGCTCTGACAGCTTTGACTTGTTTCTTATCTCCCTTTTTCTTTTCAAAAATCCCAAACTCCAATTATAGCTCAAACTTCAAGCTTTTACCCTCACCAGATCAAACAGTTTTTCACAGCCATGCAAAGGAAAGCATCTGAGTGCGCACAGGCTTGCTCTCTCCCAGAAAAGATTTTGGTTTAGAAATTAGTCCTAACAAAGAAGTATTCAAATGCAGCTGTAAGAAGCAGCAACCAAAGTCCATGAGCTGGGAGTTGGACTAGAGCTCAGGTTTTCCAAATGAGCATGACAAATACTTGGTATTTTCATAACTACATCAAGTCAGGAGTCTTAATATGACTTTCTGTGAGCCAAACATCCCACTGAAGGGGCAAAGTCTGCTGTACCTACATACCACATGGAGAAACTGAAGCCACGTTCTAGCGTGATGAGCCTTTCAGACCCATCATAGCTGCTGCACAGTTCCACCAACTGTCACAGCTCAATAGACCCAAGCATCCTTTAGTTGCCTGAGGGTAGGGGAAAGGTTTTAAGCAAAGCACCTGCTCTGTGTGCCAAACACTGAAGAGAAGCGATAGCATCTAGCCATTTAAAACTTGCCCGTCAAGCATCTTACTGGTGATGCTAATCAACTTCTGATCACCTGACACTCATCCCCGGTTTCAATTTCACTCCGACTTGTTACACGGCACAACTTCTTGCAAGAAAATCCCCTTTACATCTTGTTTGAGGGCATTACCGTAAAATGCTAGCCTTTCAGAAGTGCAACCTTCTCAATGCCTCACTTTCCCTCCCATGCCATGGGAACATTTATATTTACTCAGCTTTCATGAAGGTCCCTCTGGCCCTTGAAAGAAAAGAATGGTATGCTCAAGAGCACAGCACTATTGATATGATTTATTTTGGGCTGAGCACCAGATCTTATTACAGGCAGCTTCAGCATTCTGTTTTTTTGATACCCTCCCATGCTAGGGCATGTTAATAACACACAAATCTTCAATCTTCTTTTACATGAAATCCTCAAAAACCTGAGAATGCATTTCTCTGATACACTTCTCAAACATACCAAATTATGAAACATCAACAGAAAAAAACCTCAGAAAATGGTCCTGAAGACAACAGATAGATTTCAACCTTGGAAAAGGACCTTGATTCCAGCTTGTCTCCCAGCCTCTACATCATGACCTTGTAATGGACAACAAAAAGGGCCAGTTTCTCCTCTGGCCCCAGAGCAGCAGCAGGCAAGGCCAGAGGGCCAGGCTGCCCCTCACCTGCCTCCCTCTGCCCCAGAAGAACTTCAAACTGGGGGGGATGCTTGAGCTGAAAGTGGGGAGACACCATCTACTAGTTCATCCCAATGCCATCTGCAAATTGAGGTTTGGGGAGAGCTCGTTGAGTCATATTGTAAAAACGCCTTGGGCTGGATAATTACATTTTTAGAAAAGTTATTCAGTCGAGATGCACCGTTAATGGCTTTAGAGACATTTGTTCTGTAAGTAAAAACAAGAGCCTGTGCCCACGCGCTCACAGTCATAGGCTTGCAAACGCTCCGGTGCAAAACACCCACTGTCGCTGCCACTCCCTGGGATATGCACCCTCCTAGGCACAGGTCTGAGACCCCCCCGGACACCCTCTCTTCCCCCCACACCTCTTCACTCGCTCTTAGACTTGCTAGTGCTGCTTGTTTCCAAATCCACATGCTGGGCAGGCCCTGCCCACACCTGAAAGTGAGCGTGGGCCTGGGGAGAGGTGCCATCAGCTGCTGGGAAAGCTCGATGTGGGGCTTGAGGGGCACCTTCATGCAGATGCATGGTGGCACATGTGGGCTCTGGCATTTCCCACCTCAGAAAGCTGCAGGAATAGCTGCTCTGGCTGAGAAAATAAAAGAGAAGTGATGCACGGAGTGGCTGGTGGTGGCAAAAGTGCTCGGTGTGCTTTGAGGCACTCACTGCTCTTTTGGTTGAAACTTGTATCACATTAGCTCAAAGCAGACTGTTCCTAAGAATAACACGGTAAGAAAACGCTCTTTCTAGGTAGCTAATCCTCAAGGCAGCGGTCGCACAGGGAAGCCATCTCTTTAGCACAGCCTGAAGGTGGCAGCAGTAACATTTCATACACTTCATTGATCAATATTTTAACCCTGATGGAAAGGATTGGTATGGTGGGGAGAAGGAAACCGAGCAGACTCTGCCCTTATCCTGCAGCTTTTGCGAGCAGTTAAAAAGCAAGCAAGGAGGACTCCACTTGCTTTGCAAGTCCCTCAACACTCGACATAGTAAGTGTCCCTTGCCACCTGGGCTGCAAGACCTGGGCAGTGCAAGAGAAGCATGAGCAGCAGTGCAAGCTTATAGGCTGTCTTACTTCCAGCCAGAGAAAGATTTAACCCAGAAGAAAAAATAAAAATAAGGTCATGGAGACGACATGCGCATTTGATGCTATATTCCGACCATGATGCAGTGAAACTCCTACGGCGATGCTGCATGTGACATCCACATTCACCTACCCCACAGGCACCAAATGTGAGGCACAGTCATAGAGCTGTGCAAGAAAGCAGCTTTGCCTGCCCCCTTCCTGCTGCCACTGCTGCCCTACTCCTGCCAAAACACATCAAAAACTCTGCCTGAGAAAGAGGCAATTGCTCTGGATATTCCTTACCTAAATACAGCAGGGTTTCAGCAGAAAACGAGGAATGCCTGCCTTAAATCAGCTCAGAGGAACAACTGATGCAGTAAAGTTTAGTGGTGAATCCCACCCTGGGGCAGGGGCTCAAGGGAGCTATGAGGCTTGAGTGTGATATCATAGCACATGTTCTCGTAATTCCACCGGAGCTGCAATTGATAATATGAAAATGCCATTTTCATTATATTACCATTTATCAACAGCACTATGGCACGTGCAGCAAACTGAGGTTGGGACCTCTTCAGTGCTGGCTGCGCTATGAGCACCAGCAGCACTGGCTGCCCTTGCCCACCACAGAGAGACCTGACCTGGTGCTGTGCCCTGCTTCCCCATGTCATTGCTGCTGCACACAGGGGACATGCAGCCCAGCCAGCACAGCTATCAGGTATGGAGGTGTGAAAGGTTGGATTCTCAGGATGAGGGGCACCATGAACATCAGCTGAGCAGGTTTCTCCATAACCTGTCTCGGCTTCCCTTTGCTCCTCAGCTGCCTTTATTTCAACATAATTCAGTAGTTTTAAAATTACCAAGTAATAAATACTAGCAATCAGGAGCCAGAGGTGTAGCAAGGGTGGAGGAACAAGGCATAGCAAAGGGAAAGGACCATGCCTCCGTGCCAGAGCTAAGAGCTTCATCCCCTGCACCGTGTCAGGAGGTCACCAGCACCGAGCTCCCTCTGACTCAAGTGACAAGACGCCAGGAGCCTCTGTGCACACGTCTGGTGAGAGAGTCGCCGCTGGCGAAAGGCGAATGTCATTGTCTGCTCTGAAATCAGCAGAATTTAAATCCTATTAAATCAATTTATTAGCACTTAATTTGCATGAAATTAAATTCGGCCCCTATTCAAAGAGCCGTCACTCCCTTAAATCATCAGCACTGAGCATTTTACATGAGCCTAATTAAAAACTCTGCTGGAGCACTGCCCACATATTCCCCTTTCACCACTCAACCTGTGCTTACTGGTTAGAGCCCCACTGCCCCGGGACACACCTTGTCCCACCTATCTACATGCTCTCTCAGTGACGGAGACAACCCCACCTGGCTGTTGTGCAGATGAAGACCAGCAAAGGCCACTTTACACCCCAAAAGCCCACTGCTTTCTTACTCAGATGCCTGCATGCATTTGGTTACAGTTGGGTGGGTGGTCATGCCCACTGAGAGGGAAGAAGAGGTGGACATGGGCAACGCAACCCCTGAGGGTGGCCCTGGTCCCTCAGGAGCACTCACCTCTTTGATCCTCTGCAGCAGAGGGAGCAGCCAGTCCTTATTCACCTCACAGTGACTGTCGAGGAAGGTCAGGACTCCTGCTTGGGCCACATCTGCCCCTCGGATTCGGGACCGGATCAGACCTGTTCAGGGACACACCATGTCAGCTGCCACCCGGATGGCTAGGAAACATCCCCGGGCTCCTCCAGCATGGTCTTCTGCATTCAGGCATCTCCTGGGTTTTGACCCATCTAAATCCCATTCAGATAAAACATGGCTCGGGTTCATTGCCTCCTTCCCGGTGGCATTTATGCTGATCCTTAATCTGTGCAATTATTTCTACTGTCACCTTCTGGGGCAAAACATGACTCAAAATGCTTTCATAACCCCCTGGGTAATAAATCCAACATATATACAAGTCAGTGGGGAATGGGCTGGGGGAGTCGAAGATGGGATCACCTCATGCCAGGCTTTTCTTAGACTGCTGACTTTACCCTGCTGTGCCCCTTTCTGTGTCTCAGTGACACTCAGATCTCTCTCCCACCCTGGGGGTACTGCTGATGTGGAGATCAATGGAACACATTTTCCACCAAGGAAAGAGGTTCAGCTCTCAAGGTGCTAAGAGCCCACTTGGCTCATCAGGGCCCTGATGGTGAATTTAGAGCCCTTCAGAGTTGGAAATAGATGGCTGCATGTGTTTGTGACAGAGAAAAATGAACAAAGAGGGAGGTCATGGAAAACAGCTACACACATGAATTTCACACTGGACTCTTTGGCAAGATCACTGCTCTTAAAGATGCTCTGTTCTTATTTATACAGGAGTCAACTGGCTTTCCAACACTCCTCCTGCCTGCTGCTGATGCTCAAGTGAACCGCAGCGTAAGAAAGGAGATGGCCCACTGGCAAACAAGAGGACACACAGGTTGCTCAAGGGGAGCAGAGCTTCTTGATCAAGGAGAAGCAGTGGTGATATGAGGGGAGATAGGGGCAGATAAATAGAGACAGAAGGGTTTCAGGGAGCAGCCACACATCAGGTCCATGCAGAAGGTCACTGACTTTCATATTAAAATTCCCTGGAAGAAGGGGGTCAAGGAACAGCCTCTGAGCAGGAGGGAGAGGGACAGGATAACAAAACCTCGAGGATTCCAGCATTTGCCAAGGTCAGCTCCTGCAAAGCAAGTTGTCCCTATATATCCCTCTGCAACTTCTAAGATCTTGTGGGTAGGCACTGTGTGCTGTATCCACCCCAGTCCTCCCCAAATCCTGGCAGGTCCTGAGGGACACAGCTTCAGTGATGTCTTAAGTGAACTAAGCCCTCCAGGCTGGGTTCCCAAATCCTGACTGCTTTATAGAGCACCAATACTTGCAGGTCCATCCAGTGCTGGCAGCAAGCACATAGATACCGCATAACACAGGAGATAAAGGTGAGGAAGTGCAGGTCTATGGAGACCTTCCCTATCCTCCTGCCAAAGCAGGTACATCTCTTACACCCATGGTGGAGATCATGCCACCCTGCCACCAGATGTGCAGAGCTGAAACCTCCTGCAGAAAGAATCCACAGACAAACCCTCTCTGCTCCTCAGTCTTCCAACCCGACACACACCTGGACTCCTACCTTTGATTTTCAGCGTGATAAAACTTTCTCATTTTTTGTTTTGCTAATGCTGCAAAGCAAGACTTAAAAACACCCATTCAGACTATGGGGAACTGGAAAATGTCTCAAACGGTTGCCAGCACCAGTCCAGTAGGACATACATTCATCTTCCATATAGCCCCTCTTAATCTTTCAAATATAATTAATTATTAAAAAAAAAAAAATCCCACAGAAGCAGCAGGAGCAGATCTCTTCTCTTTCATTAGAGCAAACATCTTTAAAAATAAGACCTGGGGCTTTGTTTTGCCTGTTCTAATTTTCTGGCTAATAGGCTACAGCTGAGCCTCACTGGATATCTTAATAGTCCTATCTTTTTCAGAGAGGGGGGGGAATCTATTTCAAATTCCAGCCCTTTATCACATCTCCTTTTATCAGGGCTCCCTATCCCCAGAAGCCCCTGACCTCCCTTGCCACACACTTCATGGAGGTCATCCCCTCCTGTCTCCATCACTCTCACACCTCCCCAAATTTGGGTTTCCTACCTGGGCTGTGGGCAGGCAGCTCTTACCTTCTCGCCGTCCATTCCGCAAGCACTTCATCTTGGGGAGCTTGCCCAACAAGCGGCAGTCATCAGCTTGGGAAACACAAAGGGAGGACATGTCACCCTCAGCCCTCATGGTGGCTCTGGCAGCAGAAATGGTCCTAGGGAAGATTTGGAGCAGGGAGAGGACCCCATCCTGGACTGGTTGATAGCTTGTTAGTGTGATGGCACTGCTGGGGCACAACAGTCTTACCCCTCAGCTCACGCAGCCTAAATCATGACTGGCAGAGCAGCAGTTTTCATAAAACTAGTGTAATCCCATCAGATTTACACCAAGAACAGCTGAATTAAAGTCAGTGTAGAAGAGCCATGACTGGGGTCAGAGTTTTTGCACATTAATGGTAGTACTGGTTTTGGTAGTTGCAAAGCAACACAAGCCATTTGATATACGTTTGCATGGCTGGGCAGGAGCCTCCCAGCACAGGCTGGGCCTGTGACCCTTAAGCAAGGAGAAAGGATGGTCAAAGAGAGCCCTGTGGAGCATCCGAGGGCTCCTCATGCCTGGGGCAGCAGGTCCATGAGTCAGAGAGGCCCCACAGCTTCCCACACCCGAGCTGGGGAGGTCCTGCAATCCCAAGTGCAGTTGCTGCCACTGCTGTTGCCCCAGTGCTGCCTGCAGCCCCAGCATCCCTCCTCACCTGGATTTCTCCCAGCAAGAGCAAGTGCAGCCATCACAACTCCCTGTACCTCCACACACACACACGCCATGACCTCCGCAACCCCTCTGTGCCTCTTGCCACTTCTCTGCATCTTCTTTCTCAGCACTATAAACACATGCATGTGTCCCATTCCCGCCATCCACCCCGTGTGCCCACACGGACCTCTGAGTGTTTTCATCCCCTCCAGCAATCTCTGCTGACAAGAGACATCGCTGTATTGGCATCCCTAAAAATTCGGCTACAGAGCTGCGTTTGCTGCTCTGCTCACGCCAGGGGAGCTGAAGTGGCAGGGGTGGGCTATGGACCTACAATGGAAATTTCCTAGGAAGATCAGGAATCCATGTGCAGGACAACTTCCTCCCCACAAATGAAAGGTCAATGGACAGAGAGAAGTGAGAAATAAGACACAACTAGGCATGAGATTAAAGCACCAATTGCTTGGGGTCCATTGCAGGGAAAAAACCTGACCATGCGTGTATAGCGTATTATACAAATAGATGTATTTCATGTAAATGCATGCAGACTAGATGCCAGAAGGCTCAGACTATCACAGGAAAGGAGATGTAAGAGAGCTGAGAAGCGCTTATTTCTAGTAGTGAAAAGGCTGCTCTAAGTTAGTTGGGAGATAGGCTCCCCCCTGGTACCCCAGGAACAACAGGAGTTTAAACCCAGACCTGCTCCTTGTCCAAGGCTCACGCCATCAGGTGTGCTGTGACAGGGAAACTGCATTTCTACAAATCTTTCTCCTTTCAGGAAGGCAAGCACTTTGTCTCTTTAGTCAAATACCTGGCATTTACTTCCTCCACCCCTCAAAAAGCCTGCTCTGCTGTACACCAGGGCAGCTTGAGTCCTTGCAGCAACTCTTTTTCTCCATCACAGCCGCTCTGCCAGTCCCCAGGCTTGCCTAGCCTGGCCTCCCATACACTGGAGTTGCTCCAAAGCTCACTGTAATCACTGCAACCCTTCCCCTGGCTTTGGCAGCTCCCCAGGGAGGCACCAATGCTGAGAAGTGGGTCTCGTGTGAAATCTGTCCCTAATGCTCTCTGAGGCAGTGCGTATTTGTAACATCCAAGAGCAACATGTAGTTGTTTGGGGTTTTTTTAAACCTCTCTGGCTTTGTTTTCACATTTCCTACATTTTGCAGCTCCTTGAAATATAAGTGCCATGGACTAGGTATATTTTATCATCCTTTTTATGCCTGAGAGTTTTTTTGAGCACTTACTCTCAGCACCTGGATCTTCCACTCACCCACCTCCCTGGGCAGGGTCTTTAGCTAAGGTGGTTCCCAGGGAGCCCCTAGGGCTTCAGCTACCAACTTCTGCTGGAGATCAGACCTATTGATTTCACTTGAGTCATGCTATTAACTGGGGGAAATGGCAGGAGGACATGGGCTGTCCATGGCATACAGCACTATTATGGTGCATCTCAGAAATGTGCAACCCAAGAAGGAAGTCCTCTTCAGATGGGTTTAAAAAAAAAAAAAAAAAAAATCAATCAAGAGTTGCTGGCCACCTACATAAGTGTATGCAGAACATATGCATACATCAAGAGAGTCACACTATCATTATCCTGTACAATTCCAGTGGTGTCAACCCAGAATTGCTCCTGGCTACAGCTGAAAGCCAGATCAAACACACCATGGCTGTGGCAGGATACAATAGGGTAAGGATTGGATTAATGTCTACCAGGCATAAAAATGATATGCCATATGCTTTTCTTGTATTACTTTCCTGAAAAGAGGTTTGATCACTTGGAATTTGCATTCTCCATGTGGCGATGCAAACCTGGCACAGCGGGGTTTGCTATCCATGCCTATGGAGCTTTAAATTTCCTTCCACTTCAACAACCTATCTCCCCTCTCTGCATAAATCCTGGTCTCTCTCAGTCTCTTTTGGATTGGCCCCTCACTTTTAACATAGAAAGGGTCACTTACGATCATCACTGAAGTCATCCACTAGTATGATTTCATGGACGAGGTGCACTGGGGTGCGGTTCAGCACGCTAAAGAATGAAGAGAGAAAATCCATGACAGTGCTTGACCATCTCAACAACCCAGCAAATGGGGTGGAAAAGCCTAGGAACTGATCCATGCCAAAGCACAGAAGACCAGGCTTGGATTTCCAGAAAGGATAAACTGGATAAGACCCAGAAACCACCCACAACCCCCAGTGACCTACAGTGCCCAGCTATCAGCTCCCTCTAGCCTGATGTAAGAGCCCAGCACCTGGTATTCCTGGGAATAGCCAAGATTCACCCTTTCCAACTCTGTGATCAAAAGCAGAGCACCATATAAAGCCAGGAAACAGGCTTTTCAGCAACATGCATGTTGCACCAAGTTCCCTAACAGGGCTTTCAGCAAAGCTGCTGTCACCCCACCACCTCTCCCAGGGCTAATGATATGGTGTCCACTGACAGCAGGGCCAACACAGAGAAAATTACCCAGCTCAAATCCATCTTTACAGAGCTCACAGCCGTGGCAGGACAATTCCTGCTTTTATCCATGAGCTGATTGTGTTTCAGAGACTGCTGAGAGGATAAGAGCAGGGTTAGAGCCCGCCTGTTTAATGAAAGAGCGAAGCTGGAGGATGTGGTTCACAGCTCCCTCCAGGTGGACAGACACTACAAAACATGGCTGAAAGCTACAATCTTCCCTTAATTATGCCATCAAGGTTTTTATTTTTTAATTATTACTATCATTTTTATTATTAGAAAGTCTAGACATGTTCTTCCCCTTTTTCTCATGGTGCAGAGATCAGCAGAATTACACCTGCTTAAAATCCTGCCCCAGCAAAAGGTCACGGCTGACTTCTTGAAGCAGAAACCCCAGGGTATCCCAGATATCTCCTAAGTGCTTGACTTGGCCTTTGATAATGCCAGTTGGGTTGTATGGGCTTTTCCAGCATTTCAACTCTTTTGCCTTCATCCTAAGCATGGATCCTTTTTCACACAGGATTTAAAATCCCCCCAGATTTCACATCTGCCTTCTGGTCTGTTTAAGAAACAGCCTTTAAACTTCCCAATAGCATAAGGCGGCAGACACCCCATGGGCTAACAACCTTGAAGCCCCTGATATCTCCAGATCCTTATTGACAGGTTTCCCTGGTCTCTCAGGCTCCCAAAGCTCTGGCAGAAAACCACATCCCTGGCCCAGACCCCAGTCAAAAAGTCTCCAAATGGCAGGAACCCCAGGGGACTTGGGTGCTCAGGAGCCACCAGCCCTGCTGGCAAGAAGACAGAAGATTTTCACGGCATCACCCCTGGATATATGAGGACATTCAGCCAAAGGGCTGCGTTCCTCTGATGAAACCTTCTTGATGAAAAACCGCAAGCCCACCCTACCCAGGAGGGCTTGGAGCAGCTAAGCCGATTGCCAGGTGCCTGCTGCCTGTGCTGGTGTACCCCCACCCACTAGGTGCTGGAATTACAACGCTCTAGAGAGAAATAATTGAGTCGGATTTTTACTGAAGGAAAACAGGACATCCTAAGGTAGAGGCTTGAAATGGATCCTTCCTCCATGGGTTGGATTTTTTGTGTTTTGTGGTTGGTTTTTCTTTTTTTCCCCAGCAGAAATCCTCAAAAAAAAAAAAAAGGAGTTTCATCTCAGACCACAGTGGGTAAGGCTGGCACCTCCCGTTTGAAGCTCCTCAAAATCACTTCCAAGAATTATTTTTCCTGGAAACACAATCCCTGCCTCCTCTAATTTCAGCATCTTAGCAAAAGCCATGATTTTCCCCCTATTTCAGATGCCTTGCATGTTAAGGGTGGGGTGGGGATGAAGATAAAGCCTCTGTTCCCTAAGCAACAATCATGGTGGAAGCCCTAACATCCAGGGGCTGCTGTGGCCACCCTGGCATCACTAAGGCTTGCACCAAGCAGGGTTAGACAACACGGCCTTGCCAACGCCCACAGCCTGTACAAAGTATTGGCTGAATGCCCTTCCTCCTGCTGGGGCGCACAGAGCAATTTAGATATGCTGTTCCCACCTGTCAAGTGTTTTTTAATTATTATTATTAATAGGTTTGTTATTTTTAAAAAATCCCCATATGTGAGAGCTGAGTTCAGCAAATTACCGCAGCTGAGCGTCAGTACAGAGAGACAGGAGAGCAATATCATGCTCAGTGGAATATTTAACAAGCGCTGATTGCCTGGAAACCTAACTTGGTGAAACCTGCAGGAAAGAAGCAGACTTGTAAAAAAGCCAGCAAAATAAATAAATAACCTGCCTAGAGCAGGAGTTGGGGAGGTAGCGGGCAACTTGAGCATTCAAAGTTGCCTCCACTCGGTCTCCCCTATAGATTCAGCTGCCAGAAGTGCAGTGCAGGGCTTAACTCTACAGGAAGGTGGTCAGTCACAAATAAGGCTGATTCTGATTTTGCCAGTACCAGCAAGAGTAACTCGACCAAAACTGCTGCACTGGGCTGTAGACTGAGACCTGGGCTCTAAGTGGTATTCAGTGCCTTGGAAGAATTCCCCCCAGGGCACCTCTTAAGGAAGAAAACCCAACATGGACTGTTTTCAAGGATGCTGGGCTGGGGAGGCATGCATTCCAGTTTCAGCCTAGCTGCAGGCTCACACTGTTTCCAGGTCAAGCCCTTTGCTGCCATCTGCAGCAGGTTGCTACCCCATAAATCAGGGATGGTGTCCCCTGAATGCCTGTGATGGCCATCCATGGGATGCAGAGGGTTGACCAGAGCCAAGGGCAGAGAAGTCAGCATGCAGACTGATGAGGGAGGAACCTCCCCAAGGCTTGCCCCAGGTCCACAAGCCATCATCCTTCCATGGGGTTAATGACACCACCGTGGGTGACACAGCATCCCCCAGCACTGTGAGCTACCTCAACCCATGTCACTGCAGCCATCTCCAAACACGTCCCTTGTGGGACTCACCCACCATGTGACACTTACCCAAATCTCGAGTGAAAAAAAGCCTTGGTGAGGGTGGTCCAAAAGTTGGGTCTACCATGGCTCCAGGGGACCTGATGTCCACTGATTTCAGTTATTGCCCTTGCAAATCTGTGCACAGGCACCTGCACACCCCGAAACTGCCACTAAGCTAAGGGCCACGATGCAGGCACAAAGAGATCCACAGCAAAGGCTGCAGTGCCACGACCGCAGCGCGCTTCCCATTGCAGCTGACAGCAAGCATTTGGCTGGCTTTTCAGTAAAGCCAAATTCACATCTCCAGTGCGTTTCCTACCTGTGCTCTACTAATCACATGACAACACACCCATGCTGCTGGAAACACAGGAGATTATAAACACCCTCCTGCAGTGCTCCTCAGGGAGGATGGGAAAAAGAGGCACCAAATGCGGCACGTTTTCAATGTTACAGGGATTTGATTTTTTTTTTCAGATAAACTATAAAAGCACTTTTAAAAATTCAAAGACAGCTTTTCTATTACTTGTGCCTTTGCTCAGCTTTGATTTCTTTTTAATACTTTATTTTCTTTCTTTATGTGTGTGCATGGCTTTTTTTGCTTTTATATGGGTAAAATCAGAAGAAAATTAAAATTATAGTGCTTTGAAGTCCTTCTGTTATTTATAGAATTTTTTCCCCTGAAATCAAACATAGGTAGATATACTGCAGTGATGGGCATAATTTAACAAATCAAAACAGCTTTTAAGTTCTGTTGAGCCAGAGATCACTCCACTTTCTCCCTTAAATTGTCAAAAGACCTGTTACCATTAGAATGTAAACTCATGCCTCTAGTCCAGGAAGTGCTTACGCTCATTCAACCCCATAAAACCAGATTTGCCACTGAATTATCTTGAAAAGTTAATGCTGAAATTTTCTTTGTTTCAATGGATTTAGCAGATGTTACGCAGATGTAACCATGGAGAATTTTACCTTAAATTTTCATCATGAGGTCCTTCTTTCATCCTCCTCAACAATTTGTTGGGATACTTTTCTACCTACCCAAAAGTAAGCATTGGATTCAACCATTTCATCTCCAAATAAATACCAGTGTGAAAGTCACTCTGACGTATAAGACATGGAAAATGCTCTGCGGGGAGAAGTGCAGCTCTTCTGATCATAGGTCAGTATGTTTTTGGTCATCACCCAGAATACTAGTTGCTTTAGAGAGCTGACCGTGTACATCGATCCTCAGGAACTCGTGAACCCACTAATTCTGTCCATGGCAACATACTGGGACTTGTTAGGGGAAAAAAGCCCCCAACCTTTGGGAGTATAATAAAGTGTTAAAAGGGCCAAGGGTCACAATTATCAAAATCAGACTGAGAGTGTGGAGAAAAAGTGCCCACCAAAATGAACTGCTTCAACAACCCAAAATGGCTAATTATGTAGGAAGAGAGACATCACACCAGGAATAACCATAATGAGCTTTGATTACACTGCGGCTTTCGCATTTTATTCTTTCAAATACCCACCAAGCTCTTTGAAATTCAAGAGTTCTCTTATGTTAACATCAAAAGGTAAAAGCACATGGAGGGCTGTGTACTTAGTCACCGTGAGAGATGATTAGCAAATTAAGAAAAAAAAGTCCAGGGTTTAAGCAAAAAGAAAAAATACTCAGCACAAAGTGCTAATTATACAGTTTCTGCGCAACACCTGGCTTGTTTTGCTTCTCTAATCAGACCCATTTCAGTTATGGCGCAGACTCTATAGGGTGCTGCCGCTACCTAAGGAAGAGGCGGCACCTCTGTGTCAGATGTGTTTGGATGCAGACAAGATAGAGGCATGAGGGGAAGATGAGAGGTGCTGGCTGTGCAGGACATCACTTCTCTTACTCACGAGCACTGGAAAATTAAAGGCGTGATATTCCCCCTGCTAATTAATAATCTAAATATTTGATGTGGTATTCACAGCACTTGCATCAGGACTTTTGCCAAAGGATGTGGTTTGGTTTGTCAGTGAGAGGTAAATAATTAAGTTTCCCTATTCCTGTTCTGAGCACACCAGCTGCATGTTTGAAGAATAAATAAATAAAGACCACTCAGCAGAGTAAATGGGACTGGCTCACCCTTTGCCCAGCAGGTCACCAGCATGACAGCCTCCTACACTCCTTTTCTGTCCAGCCTGCGCCAGCTCTGACTGGCCATCAAGCTCCCAAAATTGCCTTGCTAGAGAAAGTCACAGCATGGTGGTCATCAATGGTGCAGGAGCAGAGCATCACCCCAGGCTGCCTGCAGCTCTGCCTCCCTCAGCCCTGCTGCCAGGGCAAGCAGCTTTTCTCTCCCCACTGCTCCCAGGGATGCTCCCAGGGATGGGGCAGGCACCAAGCCTTGCTCCCTGTGGACCTCAGCATGGGATGCCACACTGCATTAAGCCCTGAAAGCACAACTGGTCCTCTAGCAGTGGCTGCATGTTGGCACATGAGCATGCCGATACCTGCAGAGAAGGGACAGCAAAGGAAAAGGGATGAAATTCTCATAAGCAAGCCATGGAGTAGATCCCCCTAACCACACAGGGTTACAAGATGGGGAGGCAGTATCACCCATCGCTGTCAAGGGTCCCAGCACCCAGACCAGCCCCAGGTGACGAGAAGTATGTGCTTTCCTGGCCACGGTGCTCCTTCTCCTCTAGTGACTGCTATGGCCTTGGGGACATCCTTAAACTCTCCCCCTGGAGGAGCCGGGCAGCTATTTCTGGACAGTGTGCTGGATTCCCTTCCTAAATCCAGGCTAGCATAGGATGGAAAGAGGGGAAAGAAGAACTTGTAATTTTTTAAAAAATGGCTCTGTATTGCTTATTCTCTCCCTTGCTTCTGCCTTCCCTCTTTGGATTTACTTAACATGGTCTCACTCCTGTACTGTTGGAGACTCTCACCACCTTTAATGCACTGAGCCTTGGAGCTTGAAATATGAGATACTGAACTGTGGGTGATAAGAAATTTGCCCAGGGTTATTTGAAAAGTGGGTGGCTGAAACAATAACCCAAGGGTAGCTTCTTCACTCTCTGCACTAAAAAAAACCACCCAAAAAAACCAAACCAAAACCACAAACGAAATACAAAACTCTCAAGAGCTACTTTGCTATTCACCATTTCCTCCTTTCTGGCCTCTTCTCCCCTTTTCTATTTCCTTTTCTCATGACACCCATCCCCTACTACCTAGACACTTGTATTATTCACAAGCATAGTTACATACTCATTTATAAATGCTGACTACACCATTTGCAGAGTTTGGGTCATTCGATTAATTTAGCTTTTCTTTTTTTTCTCCTCATTTTCTTCCAGCTGGCAAATGGTCAGAGAAAAGATCATGAAACTTTTAAATTAATACATTATTCAACACAGTCCACTAGCTTTTCTCAATAGCTCTGACAATGCAAATTGTTCATAAATGAGCTGTCCCAAACACTTGCAACGTGACTTGCCTAAGGGGTGCTCTGGAGGCCACTTGTTGATGCCTCTGTTTCACGGGTCTGAGCACGTACATCCTCATCAAGAGCCACATGCAACAGACAGAGCCTGCGATACAGCTCATCCTCAGTACTCCTTGAGTATTAAAGCTCTCGGGCACCTAGGAAGAGCATAGGAATAGCAAAATCCCTCCTGCTCACCATGTATGTGGTCCCTTCTGGGAGAGCTGATTTCCTCCCCTGCTAGAGGGTGCCATCACCAGCAATTCCCTCTGCCACTCCTCCACATTTACATAGGCTCCTGTAAGAAGTGCTCCCTTTAGGTGGTTGGTGGCCCATCACCCAAGGCTTTGGACAAGCCCAACAGTGTCCCTTTGCCCTGTTTCTTGCTCCTGCCACAGTGGTTAACTGAGAACATTCATTTTGCAATGAGGCTGGAAAATCCAGCTTGATGGAACTCAGGAAACAAGGTTTGCAACCCAAAATCTTCCACCAGCCACAGACAAATCACCTCTGTTCTTCAGTATGTCCACCTGTCCCCTGGGTTATATACCAAGAGCTCACCATGGAGATGTGCTAGTGAGAACAGGGTCAAAGAGGTGCCCATTTTATTCACTGCTGTGCTCAAAGTGCTTGGAGACACTTGGCCACAGACTGCTCCAAAAGGCACAAAGTAGTGTCAGGAGGACAGAGTTTGTTTTGTCTGGCCATGGAAAATGATCCATGTTGTTACAGCCACCATGGGATGGAGTTATCTGGAAGATCTAATTAAGTCAAGCATTTGCGAAGTGAGTAGGGGAAAGCCAGAGCAGTCAGAAGGCACAGCAAATTAACCTACAGAGGCTGAAGAGGCAGATGAGCTCTCAGCTGGGTCCAAAACCAGGCAGGGAGATGGCAATATAATGCACAATCATGGCTGGAGAGGAGCAGGGCAGGAGTCATGTCACCAGCATGACTTGCCACCAAGGGCTAGTTGGATCAAAGCAAGCTTCCAAGTGCTGTGTCCGGGAGGAAAATGGTGAACCCTGATCCCAGGAGGCCACTTCCAAACCATGGGGACCAGAAGAAGGAGAGTCAGCTCAGGAGAGCTCGCTCAGGATATCAGCGCAGAGAGAGGCAGGGAAGATGGGGACTGAAGTTGTCCCAATCAACCAATTGGTTCCTCACTGCCTGGGTGTGCCTCTGAGGTGCAGGTCAGTGGGATGCTCCACAGGGCTCTGGATCCATTTGGAGATCACTCTCCAGGGAAAAGTGCTCAGAAGCATCCCCAGCACTGGGGAAAACTTCCCCACAGGCAAAACACAAGTGCCAGGGCAGTTGGGAAGAGCAATGCACAGTGGGGAAGCTGTGGTAGAAATCACACAAAACTAGGTAAAGAAGGCCGTAAAGCCAACTAATTAAGTCAAACAAAGAAAACAAGAGGAACAAAGAAGAAAGCCTTTTTATAGCTGGTAATCAGAAATTCCAGAGGACAATATCCTGGAGGAAGAAGGAAAAATTCAAGCTACCTGTATTTCTGCCCATACTATCATTGCAATGGACACTTCTCTAATGAACCCAGATATGAGGGAACCAGGCATCAGAGCTGTATCATGGGTCTAACATCTCTTGTGTGACAACATCACTCACGATTATACCTGCCAGGATAGTCAAGTGCTGAGTTATGGGGAGAAATGCGATTAAAGTCCATCTCTGCACTTTACATGTTATAAACATTCTATATCTCAGGGGCTAGAGGACACTTGGCTTTGCCTTGCCACCTCTGTTACAATGGGTTCTGGAGGATGGCAAACCCAGGCAAGACACTGTAAAGATAAAAGAGAAGGCCCAGGATCAAGGAACTGGTACACAGCACTAAGTGTCAGTGCTATGACACCCAAAATCCACACACCCTAGAGAGAGAAAGCGGTGATAGATTATTAAGTGTGAAGTGAAGGAGATGGGATTGGGCATGAAACCATAAAGCAAAGCAGAAATTCAATTTCAGGACTGTCAGACTCACTTGTGGCACTAGGTGCATTAACCTGAGGAAGGATGCTGTTTGCAGAAAAGAGCCCAATGAGAACGTGACAGTGAACGGGGCACAGCTGAAGTCTCCCCCCCAGCCAGCAAACCCAGTCCAACCAGTACTGACAATGGCAAGAGGTCCCTGGGGATGCCAGGCTCTAACTGACAAGGTTTGCAGCAGTACACAAACCTTCACTATTGTGGGCATGAAACACCTGCAAAACACTTACTACTGGCACAGAGCAGAGCACACCTAAGCTTGCTACAGAGAAACCCACCAGCTGAGACCTGGAGATAGACCCCTTGAAGGCCACTAAATCTTCATACAATGGAACCTGCAGATTCAAGGCACACATTGGGATTAGATGCTGATTTCAAAAACCTGTGATGAAAATGAAACCTTTAGTCTATCCACTACAGCAAAACATAGCCAAGAACAAATGAAGGAATGGCCACATGCCCAGAGCGCTCTACCGTGTATCCAGAGGAGCACAGAAACTGCCTTTGAAAATCTAGTCTGTGTGTGCACCATTAGGACTTTTCAATTAGCAAGCCTTTCTGGCACTCGATGGGTCACCGGAGAAGCTCAAACAGCAGTACCAGAGCAGACATATGCAGAATAGCTGTCTCTAGAGCACTGGGACAACATACAGCTGAGCACTGCTACCCAGCTGGGTATAAAACCTCTTATCCCAGACTCTGTCTAATCTGCCACTCCCCCAAAAGCACGCCATGCTAGACCCTGCAAAGTGAGCACAGCTACTTACTTTCCTGAGCATCCCACTGTAAAACCTACTTCTCAGAGACCAGCTTTCACACTAATTTCTCCCATAATAATTTGAGACCATAGCTGGAAGGTCCACTCCTGTTGCTGCAGTGAGTGCAAACAGATTCTGCCTTTATCCACAATAACCTCTAGCCCACTCACCCTTTTTTAAGAGCATTTATAAATAAGAGCATTTCCAGCCAACTAGGTGGTCTTACCTCCGAATTGTCCTTAGCAGGGTTGACCTGGCCTCATTGTGGAAGGTGATGATGACGCTGGTTGGCGGGAGGTCCTGTCGATAGTGCAAAGTTGTACACCTGGGGAGGGAGAAAGAGGAAAAGGTCACTCAGGTGCTGAAATTCAAAGTGGGAACTCAAGTCATTAATGCAGGCAACAAAGTCCATCAGTAGATGGTCCTCCAGCCACTATTAAAAAAAAAAAAAAAAGGTTTTCTGCATGAATCCTTTTTGAAGGAGTCCTGAAACTGCCAAGTCAGTCACTGAGGATTAAAGCAGCAAAAAGAGCTTAACTGTCATTAATAGGAAGGGATAAGAAAGGAGGCACCCAGCTTGCAGCCTTTCTCTCTAACCATTGCTTCCCAGCTATCACACCCTCCTGGTGCCATCTGCCTCACGCACCAACAGGTAGTGGGAAGAGTGCCTTTTGTATACCAGCTAGGGCTACGCCACATTCAGCGAAGATGCTCCTTGCCGATGTTAGTATGACAGGATCAGAAACAAGTCCTTCATGCCAAAGGTAAGGCACAGGTGAGGGGCTTGCAGAAGGCCAGCTGCAAGTCTTATGCTGCCTCAGTGTCTTTGTGGGCTTCATGGGGCTTTTGGTGTCATCCCAGAACTACTGGGTTATTGTCATAAGGTTTTCACTTTCTTAAACTGAGGCAGGAGCCTAAGCACTCTCACACCCACCCAGCTGGGGGCACTGGCAGAGCATCATTGCAGATCCAGCTCCAAGCTGCCTCACTGCCACCTCCCAAGGCAGCAACTTCCACCAGCCGGCTGCAAGGTAAGCCAAGTTCTGTTTCTAAATTGATTGTTTCCTTATTCATTCTGCCTTAATGGCATAACCTGACTTCAGGGGAGATTGGGATTTAAAACTTTCCAAGCCAGCCTGCAGAAGGTAAAAAACCACAACTGCAACCACAGCCCCTGCTGCCTTCTTCCCAGGAGGAAATGTTGTAGACTCTGTAATTACTTTGACCTTTAGGTGATGAAATATGTGGCTTTTATAGACTGACGCCACCAACATATTCCTAACCCAGGAAATCCACATACACCTCTTACATCCGTGCTGCTCTTTCCAGGTCCCTGTTGGACCCTGTGATGACCTTAAGATGACACACCAGTGGCAGGAGGGCACCCACAGTCAGACTGAGGAGCTCCCCATCACGGCTGTCATGCCCCTTCCCATCCACACACCACTCGCCTGCTCTTGTGTCACTGCCCCAGGTACTACTGCTACCATCCTCAAATGAAGCAGGAAAGAAAGACTTGAGCAACAACTTTTTCAAGAAACCAACAGCTTGCTTCCCCCAAAGCTCTGGAGCACAGTATCTGCAAATTGAAGTAAAACAGACGGTTTCTGAATTACTAAACAGCACTGGGTCATGCCCTGAGCTGCTTGTCTGGGTTACTGTGGCCCCTTGCATCATCCGGTAACCAACTTCAGCTGAGCTTTCCAACCTGATATGATGAGAAAGAAGCTGCTGCTGTTGCTTGGTGCCTTTTTTGCTAGGCCCAGGCTCAGCTCTCACTTGCTTTGTGAAGCTTCAGGGACAGATTATGACAACTGCGCTCTCTGTGCTATTTATACACCATTATCTCCTAACCATTCCCAGATGCATGCCCCTCCACCCACTTCCAGCATGGCATCAGGAGGGGTGCTGTGGAGCAAACAAGGGAAGCTATTTCTGGAAAAGAAAGAAAGAGCGTGAAAAATACAGTCATCAATACTTTACTTATGTTTCTACAATAGTTAAGGAGCTAATAAATAAAGCTGCAGTGGCTGTGTGCTGTATCACCCACCGGTGGGAGTGCCGGGGATACTGCACACTGGCTGAGCCTGCCAGTGGTATGATGAAGGCTCCTTGTGTGTGACAAGGACTTGTTTTTAAAACTCCAAACGTCTATGCACCAGATCAGTCTAACAAGACAAAGTGCATGCGGGAAACACTGAAATGTCATATTACAAGCACCTTCAGAGCTTGGTCACTGACTGGCTCTGTGACTCACCCCTGACTTCTGCCTAACGAAGCCTGTTGCATCCCAAAGATGGGAACAATGACTGTGCTGCTGCGGAGCAGACAGGGACTTGGCAGCACCCCCAGCCTCACTTTCCCCTCTCTTACCAGCACTGCAACGCAGGTCAGACTCACCTCCCCAGAAACAAGCCCCAGAAGGGACAGGCTGAGCTGCTGCATCTGCCAGGGCTCCTCTGTGGTCCCTATGCAACCCTGCCTCTGCCCTTGCCCAGGATTTTACCTCTGGGCCATTCTTTCAGGAGCCCTCACAAAGTTTCCTCCAGTTGGTCCCTTATTTTTTTTTTCCCCCTTCCTCCCCCAGTGTAACTGCAGCTAAACATCCTGGCTCCCCAGAAGGCAGATTTCAGTTTAAGTTGTTGACTACAAGTGGGTTTTTGGCACTTGCTTAGGTAATAAAAACCACAGCTTGGAAAAGCATTAAATCCAGCACGTCCAGAATTATTTTGTGTGACAATTACATCTGGGGTAATTTCAATTTAATACCTCACTGCAAGTGAAAATTGCAGCATGCAGCCCTAAAATTGCTATAATAATGAAAATAAACCCACTAAGAGCTGCCTGTGCTACCTCAGGCTGTCACTGGATAAACGTTTTGTGCTGCTTATGGTATTTCATAGGTCACCCAATTGCCAACAAGAAAAAAACCAAAAACACCACCCACAACATTTTCAGGAAACCAGTGAAAGTTTGAGTTGTTTGGGGTTTTTTTTTTTTTAAGAATGTTAAAAAAAAAGTAAAAAATAGTAATAACTGCATTGCTTATATTTGCAGTCTGCTGAAACTCACTGGTTGAAGTCATTTAAAGTTTCATGCTTTGAAAACTTGCAGCAGGACTGGGGACCAATCTTAGCACAGCAAGTGCTAGCAGGAATGCTGCCAGGCTGAACTGCCTGCAACGTGGGCTGCTTCACCAGCTCACAGCACCTGGGGGGCCAAAAGAAGACAGAAGCTAGGCTGGCCTGCCCTAAAAACCCCAGAGAGCAGCCAGCCATAGAAACAATTATTATTTCCTCCTGCAAATACAGAAGTCAAACTTCAATTTGACGGGAAGTTTCTCTTTGCTGTTTTAAGGTTATTTCCCATCTAAATTTGAAATATTTCAGAATCAGAAAGTTATGAAAGGAGTATTCTGGATGCAGACATCTTAAAGATTACCCTTGGAAAATCCCAGCCTGGGCTGGCTGCTCTCCAGGGTGGAAGGAGCAGCACATCTCATCTCCATGTTCCCAATATGCTGTTAACAGCTCAGGAATAAATTACGGTGTACCCATTTGTGGGGACAGGGAGCAGACAGCTGGAGACCTGCACTCATTGCAGGAATTGCAAAGCCCTCCTGCAAAGTCACAAACTCCAGTGTTCCTCACAGGCCTCCGAAGTCCCTCACTCTGAAGACATTTTCTCAAGTTCTTTCAACCCTTGTGCTCATGGTGAGCAATGGGATATCACAGCCTGATGGCCTCTACACACAGCTGCCCCTGCATCCCTAGAGGTCCTTCCGATGAGGCAACGAATGCGCATTCCCATGGTATTTCAACCTGTTTTATATTTAAAATGGCAGACTAAACTCACAGTGCTCCTCACCAAACCAAACCCCACCTTGGAAACACCACTATGCAGCACAATGGTAAAGACTGATGGTGTGAACAGGGATAGACCCTCTTCCTCAACCCCTCCTGGTATACGCCAGGGCTCATCCAAAGCATGTTTTCTCCTTGACATCTGCCATCAGATGCCCACAGAGCTGCACCATGTCTCCCAAAACCCACCTTTCATGCTCACCCTCTCCTGTGCCTTGTTAACTTCCTTCAAGAGATGATTATCCTCATCCCGCTCCCCCAGCTTCCCCTGCCAGGCTTCTGCTCATTTCTCTTTTCTGCTTCGACAGTCATCACTTGCCAACAGCTCTGCTTTGAATTTTTAACGTTTTCCATGAAGTCCAAACTCTCTCACTACACAGCTCACCAATTCCAAAGCTCTCTCTGCATATTTATTTTGAACAGCCAGCCACATCAGACAGAGCTACAGCACCTTTGAACTCCCTCCTTGCTCCTCTCTTCTTCTTGGAAACACGTGGGAGAGCAGCCTCATCACCACATATTCATACCACAAGTATTTGGGTTTGTCTCCACACTGTGCACTCACAGGGCTCTCCCTCTCACATCAACCCAGAGGACAGGGATGTGTCATCAGAAACAGTATGGGTTCACACCACCTGATGGACAAACCTATAAGCACTGTGGGTTTCAGATGACATTCATAGAATGACAGAATCGTCTAGGTTGGAAAAGACCTTGAAGATCATCCAGTCCAACCATCAATCCAACATTAACAGTTCCCAACTACACCATATCCCTCAGCGCTATGTCAACCCAATTCTTAAACACCTCCAGGGTTGGGGACTCCACCATCTCCCTGGGCAGCCCATTCCAACGCCTAACAACCCATTCTGGAAAGAAATGCTTCCTAATATCCAGTCTAAACCTTCCCTGGTGCAACTTACTTGAGGCCAATCCCTCTTGTCCTATCACTTATTACTTGGTTAAAGAGCTTCATCCCCAGCTCTCTGCAACCTCCTTTCAGGGAGCTGTAGAGGGCGATGAGGTCTCCCCTCAGCCTCCTCTTCTCCAGACTAAACACCCCCAGTTCCCTCAGCCGCTCCCCGTACGACCTGTGCTCCAGACCCTGCACCAGCTCTGTTGCCCTTCTCTGGACACGCTCGAGTCATTCAATGTCCTTTTTGGAGTGAGGGGCCCAAAACTGAACACAGGAATCGAGGTGCAGCCTCACCAGTGCCGAGTACAGGGGTGAGACCCTTTCCCTGTCCCTGCTGGCCACGCTATTGCTGACACAAGCCAGGATGCCATTGGCCTTCTTGGCCACCTGGGCACACTGATGGCTCCTGTTCAGCCAGCTGTCAATCAACACCCCAGGTCCCTCTCTGACTGGCAGCTCTCCAGCCACTCCTCCCCAAGCTTGTAGTGCTGCTGGGGGTTGTTGTGGCCCAAGGGCAGCCCCCGGCATTTGGCCTTATGGAAACTC